GTACAGAAAATCCCAGTTGTGCAGGTGGCTCTGGGTCTTTGGTCCTAGATTTCCAGACCCGAATAATATTAATTGTTAAGAGGGAAGATGCCATCCTTATAGCTTCATTTAAAAGTCAAGCATGATTTTAATTACCGCTGACATTTAGACAAGAAAATTGTTTAAATATTTAATGATGGAATGAGGCATTCAAATAACTTTCATTATTTGCAGATTAAAAATTCACAAGGATCCTCCGCACTTTTATCTTTATTGAATGTATTTGTTGTAAACATTATGTATTTTCATAAACATTTAATGAGGACTAACTGTTAGAAATGCAAAACTCTTTCTCCCCTTCATTCTTCATGTGCAGTGACTCCAACACAGCATATGCTCATGTAAATGTTTGCATAACAAATTAATCGGAAAGGATTTAGGCGGGGAAAGATGTTGAATGCAAGCCTGATGAAGAGGCCTGTGAAACTCAGCAGTTTGCATTCTCGTGGACAGACACTTGGACTGACAGAATAGCTGGTCCAGCTAAAGCAGTGATGTGGAACCTGTAGCCCTCAATTGCATTTTTCTCTACCAATCAGAAAAACAGACCATTTTAAAATAAGGAACACAATATTTTTGCTTATGTATAATCCTAATAGATAGTTGACTACATAATCCACAACAGATATAAACAACAGAATAATGCACATACAGTGGTACCTCAGGTTACATACGCTTCAGGTTACATACGCTTCAGGTTACAGACTCCGCTAACCCAGAAATAGTGCTTCAGGTTAAGAACTTTGCTTCAGAATGAGAACAGAAATCGTGCTCCGGCGGCACAGCGGCAGCAGGAGGCCCCATTAGCTAAAGTGGTGCTTCAGGTTAAGAACAGTTTCAGGTTAAGAACAGACCTCCGGAACGAATTAAGTACTTAACCCGAGGTACCACTGTAATAGAAAACGGCCTTATACTGTCAGACCGTTGTTCCATCTGCCTAGAACAGGGATGGATGGACATGGTCCAGAAGACGTATCCTGGGCAAGAAGCATGTTTATCTGACCCCACTAATCCTACCAGATCTCAGCTATGTTGTGCTAAAACATTTTGCCCAGTTTCAGTTGTGAAGATAAAAAGCAAGGCATCTCTGTGGATATTTTATACAGATGTTATTGGATTGCTTACTCGTGCATGTGGCAGAAAGCTAGAAGATCACGACTAGTCTGTATCAGGTGTGGAGAGTCCTCTCCCCCTCCGGTAGCATCAAAGGAAAGAATAACAAGCAGTTTGTATGTTATAGTCCTTTTTATTCAGTCATCTGGTTGCACGACAAGAATCCATGTCTCCACACAAAGAGAGACATTGGCTACTCTGAGCCCCGCCTCTCCATCCCCAATAACATCCTGAGTGCCAGCAGGAAGTCCCAGGAGTCCCACCCCTCTGCCTCCTCTGTTCTAGGATGTGGAGGGACAGAGGGGCCCGTAGAGATGGAGGATCCCCTATACTCTCCAGGGAGGTCTCTGCTGGTTGCGCTCTCCCCTCCCCCTCTCCCTCCACTATCTTGTAACTAGGCAATTCCTCCTCGAAAGATATAGCATCTCTCTCACACTTTCTCCTCCTAAAACTGCTGTAGACAAGGGGAGTGAAACTTCCCCCTCCTCCTCTTCGGATAGAAGCTGATGAGACTGAGTGTACACTTCCCAGTCTTCCTGTTCCAACCATTCGCTGACAGTCTGCCTATTTTAAGAAAGTACATTTGTTCTTCTGTCTTCCCGATCAATTGATTTGTACTACCAAGGCTTCATCTTCATTGCTAGGTGATGGCCAACTTTATTACGGAACCACACCACACATGAGCAAGCTGAATAATCCCAGCACTTAGGACAGAAGATGTAGTAAGCCCTTGAGGACACAGAAATTGGCTCTCTATACTGCAGCAATTTCCCGATCTTCATATTAAATAAGAGGCTACCATGCTGGCACTGCTGTCTGAAAACCCTGGCTACTAAGAACTATTGTGCAATCACAATTTCTTTGCCAAAAAAGCTGAAGGAAATCTTGGTTGCCATTTGTTGTGGTTTCTTTCCCTTCATTTTCTATTTCTCCATAAACATAATCTGGAATAGTATTTTGGGACCAATCTGGTTTGTAACGAGAAATCTTTCTTTCACACTTTTAAGGGAGAATGTTGCCATTTTACAACTAAGCCATCAAAATATAACAGATTGGGGGACACTTTCATTTTAGTTAATGAGCATTTTAACAGGGTCCATTTTTAAGCATCATTATGCTCTGAGTTGTATGAATGCAAAGAATAGAGAGGAGGAAAATGGCTCTGGGTTTCTCAGAACTGGAGATCAGCAACAAATTAAACCATCCCAACACATCCCAAGAGAACTGATCTGTAGCACAGCCCTATATTTCTCTGTTATTATGAAATATAATGTGATGAACTCTGCTCTTATTTTTAAAAATTGTGTAGAGGGGAAATGAGCTTTCCCCTCTACACAACATTTTTCTGTCTTAGATGTAAGTCATTGCACTTCCAAAATAAATACTACTGTCACACATTAATTTATAATCTTCAGTTAAATATTTAGTCAGGAGAGGGCGCTCATTGTTATGTTAAAATGTGAGCTGTAATTATAACAAAGGGGTGGAATTGGCTGCATTCATGTGTTTCTGTTTGTTGTTTTTTAAGCAAGAGGGAGAGGATGGTTTGTTTTATTTCTCAGAACAAAACCTATAGAAACTGGGGTCATATAATGTCTCCTGTAATACTAATAATCACTACAATAAAGCTTTTCTAGGATAATTCCTATTGCAAGAACAGTGAAGCCAGGGTGTCTTCTTCTTCTTAAAAAATTCAATTTGTATGTTAATGGTTTTTTTCTCAGGACTGCAAAGATATATGTATTTCCCTGTGTCGATCGTGTCCTCTAAAGTAAACTTACTGTGTTATGCTAATGATATGGTGCTGCTGTCCTTGGCTGAGACAGGATTGAGATAGCTTTTGGAAATACTAGCAAAATATTGTTGCGCAACACCCCAGTCTCTGAGCAGTAGAAGATTCCAGGTGTTCCAGATGCTGAGCCAGGCTTCCTTTTCCTCAGAATGAGGACAGTGGAGACTGTAGTGTCCTTATGATATGTGGTATATTTACACATACACTGGTAACTCGGGTTACATACGCTTCAGGTTACAGACTCCGCTAACCCAGAAATAGTACCTTGGGTTAAGAACTTTGCTTCAGGATGAAAACAGAAATTACAGTGGGAGGCCCCATTAGCTAAAGTGGTGCTTCAGGTTAAGAACAGTTTCAGGTTAAGAACAGACCTCCGGAACAAATTAAGTACGTAACCAGAGGTACCACTGTATATACAACCTGAGACTATAAGAGAAGGGCTCACAGCATTAACACCCCAAGAGGGTCTTGTTTCTCCCATAGCCACAGTCTTGGAATCAGGCAGAAATCAAGCATGGCGTTGATCCTTTGCTTTCACAGCCTTGCTTCCAGCTTTTACCTTATACACAAAGAGCTCTGGCTTTTGTCTTTCTAACTATCAGCAAGTTGATGGAGGGGAGGCACCCATTTGCTGTCTGGCATAGAGCCACTTCCTTTGTTACCTTAATGGCCCCCCCAAAAGCACTTTTTCAGGCTGCAATGTCTCACAGGTCACGTGACTCGCAGGGGAGCATGCCCCCCGCCTACCGGAAAATGGTATCCTGGTTTTTTGCCTCGACATACTGGATCGTATGCTATTTCAGCTGAGGAGGATGACAGAGGTTGTTTGGCAATGACTGAGAAGCATTGTGTACTTGAAAATATCGTGGGGGGAATCAAGCCAACTGTGCACATGTTGTTTAAATATCTGTCTTATTAGTCAGCGTCTACAAAAGTAAATAAACCTCCAGGCAACTTACAACAGAGGCCAAAACAAAAGCCAAGAATGCAAGAAGCAAGCATGGGGGACAGTGGCTGGAAGAGAGCGAGTAGAGAGAGGTTCTGGTACTAGTTAGCATGAAGACTCCAGCTACCTCCAAGAGGCTGTTGTTTCCGGGAGGCATTTTCCTCTGGACTAGGCTCCACTGAGTCTGTAGAGACCATCAACTTGCATGGCTGTAGCTGCTCAGGGAAGTCCCCAAACCAGCCCACTTTGCCTTGGTGCTAGAGGGAGGGAGGATATAAAGGTCAGCCTGATGGGGATGCTGTCAGTGGTGGCGATCCCAGTCTTTTTGGGTTGTTTCTTTGTGATGCAACAAGCCTTGCCTTATTTTAATGTTTTGTGGGCATGGTTTTTTGTGGGGCGTTGTTTGTCTGTCTCTCTTGGGGCGGGGAGGTGTTATATTTTTCTTCAGGCCATTTCTGGGGTTTGACATATTTTCATACCCAAAACAAATTATGTAAATATTACCTCGGCTGAGGAAAGTTAGGTGCATGGAAGCTTTAAGTCCTAAGAGAGACCACGATCTTCTCAGTGCCTTTGGACCACCACAGTTCAAAAAAGATGCTAAAAGTACCTCATGAGTTAACATTTCCATACCTCTTTTGAAATCTTGGAAAGATTTAGGAAGATTTAGGTTTAGGAAGACAGGAGTGCCTGGCGTGCTCTGGTCCATGGGGTCACGAAGAGTCGGACACGACTAAACAACAACAACAAGGTACCCTGGAAGCATGGCACATGCAAATTTTAAAATTAACAAATTCCATATTGACCTAAAGGAGATTGCCCCATTTCAGAGATATCTGTGAGGCAATATCTGCCCCTGCACTATGGAATGCCCTTCAATACGTGAAGCAGTAACCATCAGTTGCTTCAGATGTCTTGTAGAGACATATCAGGATCCAGAAGACTGAACCCTGTTTTTATTTATATGAATTCTCTGGATTCCTGCTTTTATATGCTTTTATATACTAGTTTTACTGGTTTTGCATTTTATGCTTGTTTTAATGACATTGTTTATTGTATTCATGTTGGACACCACTTAGAGATTTATAAAATATTAAGCGGTATAGAAGTGCTTTAAAATAAACCTATTTATTTGAGAAGTATTCAAGGAATATAGGATAGCTCATTGTTACTTCCTAGAAATACTATGCAGAAACATTACTGGTTTTAAAAGTAGCTAGATTTTTTTCCCCTTCAGTTTTGATCAAAGGTGATTTGCAGAAAACACAGTATTTCATAAGAAATAATAGATATAGGATAGATAGGGATTATGAGTAACATTGTGTGTACACTGCTTCCCTAACCAGTGGGAATGCACCAGACAAAGTATAAATGTGTGAACACAGCTGAAATCAAGGTGTTTGGTCTTGCTGTCAATGCAAATACAGTGTATAATCATCATCATCATCATCATCATCATCATCATACCCCACCCCTCTGACTGGGTTGCCCCAGCCACTCTGGGTGCCTTCCATACATATAAAAATATAATAAAACATCAAACATTAAAAACTTCCCAGTACAGGGCTGCCTTCAGATGTCTTCTGAAAGTGTACATTTGCTCCAAAAAACCTGTTCTGTGTTTTCTGTTCTCAGCTGTGGAAAATAATGCAGCACAAGGAGAAAACGCTGGCTCTGTTACTATAAAGTTGTTGGAACCAGAGAGATTGAAAACAGGTTTGACTGGTTATTGCATTCAAAGACATAATCCAATACTAAAGCTTTGCAATAAGAAGTGGGTGGAAATGCTTTTAATGAATGCAAGTGGGTTGGGTGCACACCAAGTACACATAAAAGGCCAAAGTATGTTATTACACAAGGGGACAGGAGAAACATGAGTGTGTCATTGACAGTAGTGAAGAACTACGTGTTCCCACAATTCTCTGAGCTTTTATATTAAAAATGTTCTCAGACGAAGGGCTGTTTCCCATAACATTATCAGCAATTGTAATGATAACAGTAGGCTGGAAGATTCTGGATTATTAATATGAAAGACTGTAAACATACGAGGTGGTATTCAACTAAGCTTTACTCAGAGTAGACCCATTGAAATGAAGAGACCTATTCCATAATTTAAATGAGAGTTGAATACCAGCCAAGCGGTAATAGCATTTATTACCAGGGATAATTTCTTGAAATGGTTGAAATTAAAAGTGGAAGCACTAGTTTGCACAAGGGGAGAGTTCAGATGCCTGTGAGTATGCTCAGAAAGGCCTTCACTCGGCAAGGCTATGAATGGTGTTCCTACTATAAGATCGGCTTAGAAATATTAATCCCCTGTGATCGCTATTAAATAGAAATTTTCTATATTTTGGTAGAGAAAGCACTTCCACAAAACATTTGTTAGTACAGATCTAGATATGCATTGTTAGGCCAATTCAATATTATTTTGGAGTCATAAAGCAGTTGCTTTAGCTACAGTTCATATTTCTTTATGACCCATTCAACTACTACATTACTATCAACTGAGCTTGAGGCTGGATGATGGTACAACTTGGTGATAAAGGACAACAACAACAAAAAAGTAAACATTTTAATTTATTCCGGAGTATCTTCCATGTGACCAATGCAAATGTTGTTAACAAGTGACATACACGCAGGTAAGAGAAACAAAAATGGGCACATGATGCAAACTACCCTTATTTCATCAAAATAAACAGGCACAGGCAAGTCACATATGTTTTTACTTATATTCCGCAGGACATGGAAATCACACAGAAATCAGAGACAGGTATCAAGTTAATTAAGGATAATTAAGCAAGATGATTAAGAGTTGCACAATTATGTGGATTCTGATTAAAATAGCTCTACTATTTCATTTAGACTTAAGAAATTTACACAGGCAGTGGAAAATCAAAGACAGGGCCCACATTCAACTAACTAATCTAACCAGTGGAAACCCATGCAAGGACTTCCGCAAGCACAACGGGGCTCCCCACCCCAATTTGCATTGCCCCTCCGAAATAGCGAGAGGTGGGGGGAGGAGAGAGTGGATAATTACTTCAGACAAGCTATGTGGAATTCCTTCCTGGATATTTTTCCCCCCTCTTGCTCCTTTTACAAAATTTCAGGTAGGCCAGGCAATGGGTTGCCTCCAATGCTGCACGTGGAGTTTTACTCCTACAACAGGATTTCCCTTTTGTGAATCCTTAAAATTTGCTCTGCAGGGTCCGCCAACCCCATGGAGCAAATTTTGAGGGTGCACAGGGGGCTGCAAGGGACAGTTCAGGGGAAAGTTCCATTGTGTGAGTGGAAATCTGTTGCCGATCAGCAGCATTTAACACAGCCCAATATATTTTATCACCAAGTCATCATAGGACAGGAGCTTTGATCCAGAGATCCCACTCTGCAAGCAGAAGACACTTTCACAGTTTTTTTGGGGGGGCAGGGTGGAGAAGAGAACTGGTCTGAATTGTTCTGTTAACATTTTGAATCAAGTTTGAAGGCCTGCTGATTGTGGGGCTGGAACTGGCCATGCTACCTAGTGGAATCTTTAGAGCCATGGAAATACCATAATTTTTCCGCGTATAACACGCCCCCATGTATAAGACGACCCCTATTTTTGGGGACTCCAAACAGAGGAAATGGGAGATTGCCCAGAGTTGTTGAGTTTTTTTTGGACCTGACCCGCCTGTCCACCACTGCCAATTGCACGCATCAACAAAGCCAACAATCGTCTGTCCCCCAGTTGCATACCCAATTGCCGCAGCAGCCAATTGCAAGCAGACCTTGCTGCAGTCAACAATTGCACATCCAACATCTGAATTATCTGTCTATTAGACGACCCCCATATTTAAGCTTTTTTTAAAAAATAAAAACAACTTGTCTTATACACGGAAAAATACGGTGTTTTAAATTGAAAAAATATACATATGCCTTAAGTCTCATTTCCATACCAAAAGCTTACTATGACTTTTTGGGGGGGGGAGAAAATATAAAAATTATACCTATGAAACTGATGGAAAGCGGGTCCTTGCATTAGAAAATTCTAAATGAAGGCAAAAAAAAATGGAAGGAATTTGCATAGACACAACCTCTGCTAATTTTTTAGCAAAAGAAGTCCAAACAACTCATAGAAAACCCAGACAAGCCTTAAACATTAGTGTCCTTGTATCATACTGATAACATAGATAAAATCAGTGGTCTTATTCTTAAGAAACGTTGTGATAATATCAGATAGTTAATTGATGAACATTATGATATAAAAGAGACCTCTGAATTTTTAGCACTTAAAAACAGTTACGTAAAAGGCAGAGTTAAAAAGTGCATTGCTGAAGCAACCTATTTTGGCTTTCTGGGAAAGAGTAGGATGGAATTTGAAAGTTGTTCTCAGATACTGTCTTGATGTGAAGATTCAGATGCATTTTTTGGTTCTCTTTCCCAAAGCAGTCTGTTCCATTATAGCTTCTCAATATGCTGATTACTCCATCATGTAGAAACGGTACATAAGGGCCACAATAATTGCTGCTATAGCTGGAATCACCCAGTTGGACCATGTGCTAGAAGAAACAAAAAGTTACTTTGATACATTCTGATATATCAGAATGCAGACAAACCAAAAACTTAAGACTAGAATGGCAATGCTTTAAAGAATACATGGTCAAATATTGTTCCATAAAGAATATGTTGATATGTTTAGATTAAAGGAGTAAAGTGGAAAGAACAACATTATCTAGGAATGTTATAAAGAGATAAAAATCCAAAATCTAAAGGAGTGCAATGATTATATTGAACGTAAACAATAAGGAGGCCGTGGTGTGGTGGAGGGAAGTTGAGGGGTGTGGTGGTGGGAAGGGATTGGAGGTGGGAAGGATTTATGTTTGTGTAAATAATAGCGTATTTTTGTGTGTTTTCGTTTGGGTAGGATGTACGGTGTTTTTTGCTCTTTCTTTTTGTATTAAAAAACTCAATAAATAAATAAAATAGAATAGAATAAAGTTACTTTGATACAAATATCCATTAGCTTTTATATGATGGACTTCAGAAAAACTGAACTTTTGGTTAAGGCTTTATCCTAGATCTGACAGCAGCAGATCATAAACACTTTGAAGTGAAATACAATGGATTATATAGTTAAGCCAACTAAGTAAAGGTTGTATATGATTTTTGGCAAACCATAATGAAGATTTAGTCACATTGAGCTAAGATAGAGATGAGGAATTTGTGGCCCTCCAGTTGTTGCTGGATTCCTAACTCCCATCAGCACCAGCCAATATGGTCAATTTATCAAGGATGTTGGCAGCTGGAGGCCACAGGTTTCCTCATATTCATGACCTGGACAAAGGAATATTTTTCTGAACTACTGGTGGAAATGCAAGCAAATATATAGCTGGATTGACGACTTTAGGACAAAAGCCTGAGACCAAAATGAACTTTACACAAGTTTTTTAAAAACATTTGTTAGGAAATGTAATCCTAAAGTAAGAGTGGAAAAAGCAAATATAATGTAAACATTTTCAAAATATGTGGCCTTCCAAATGCAACTTAAGATTCCCAAGACCCAAGCACTGGAAAGTTTCTATGAGTCTGTTAGAGACAGTGGGCTTGAAGCAGTGAGGCAGGCACCAGAAGGCAAGCTATACATTTTATATAAACAAATAAATATGTGCCAGATGCAGAGTTAGGGTGCTCTTTCAATAAACACAATGTGGCCTAGTCCTGTTAAATAAACAATTACACACATGCAAGCATTAGACTTCAAATATGACCCCATTTCCAATTGTCTTCAGATTTTTAATGTATATATTAATGTTTTCTAATGATTTTTTTCTATGTTTTTAGCTATTCTTGTTTTTATCTTAAGCCAAAAAAGCAGGGTAATAAAAATAATAATAGCATCATGAAAATGTAACAAAATTACTTAGTAAAGGTGAAAGCCAACACGGAGCGAGCAAACCTCCGCTTGCATAACATGGCCTCTCTTTCCTCACCCCCTTGCTCCTCAAAAGATTGTCAGGAGGGTTGGGAGACACCACCTCCAAGCAGATTTTGCGGGTGCATGGAAAACGGGGGGCGGGGGGGGGAGAAACCAGAATTCCACTGAGTGAGTGAATTTATTTTTCACAAGCAGTGAACGTCACTGGATGTCAACCTATCTGAATACCCGGTGCTTTTTTTTCCAGAGGGAACTCAAGGGCACCTCTTTTTGTTTTGTTTTGTTAAAAAGTGTGACACCTACTGTAACAATTTCATGGTGAGTACCAGCACATATTTTCCTAGAAAAAAGCACTGTGAATACCATTTTTTAAAAGAAAAACAGTAATGGCTTGTTAAATGAAGGCCATACAATACCTGGAATTAGAATCAAGAGTGGTAATGTAAGGTTCCTGAAAAACAAAGCAATACATTAGTTAGACTTAACTGGTCTCTCCTGCCCATCCTTCTTGTCACAAAGCTAACTCATGCCAATTACTGTGTTCACCTACTGTTTCCTCAGATGTCCTCTGATATGGTGTAACCTTTCACATCTAACCTTTCATCATGATCATTAGCCCTCTGTGCTCACTTGCTGCTACGGCAGTATATGCTACATTCCCTGAATTTTGGAAATGACTTCTTGTTGCCATGCAAAAAAACCACCATGTTTTGGTTTAAAAGTCAACACCTAAAATACAGCAGCTAGACAATAAATGGCTGGGCTCATTGCAACATCTTACAACCCACAAGGACACTTTTCAACCTTGGGAATATATCAGTGTGTCCCTCACTTAAATCTTGCCACACAATTTATCCACAATTAAACTTCATATGATTAGCCTTCTAGATCCTTTCTGTTATTCTTGCAGCATTTGTGGAAGATAAGCTAATTGTAATCTCCATGTTCAGAGACAGAAATGCCTATGGAAAGCACAGTCTGTGCAAATGGGAGGGAATTAATCGTCACCATCATCCACAGTTTCTTAGAGTCTCTTGAGTATTTGACTGCCCACCACTCAGGGGGGAAATGATGGACTTGGTGGATCTTCAAGCCTGATCCAGGAGGGCAGTTCTTGCATCCTCTTAACAGTTTCTGTGATGCAGAAAGATTTGGAGAGACTTTCCACTCAGCTCACATTTGAACTGCTTATCTGTCAAGGCCTGACAAAGTAACCTGACAGCAGAACAGAACTGCTGAAAAATCTTCAGATGTAAATCATATCAGCATTCTCTGGATCATCACCTTTCATGGACCATAGGAAGCTCCCTTATTATATACAGTCAAAATTATGGTCTACCTAACTCAATTTTAACCAAACTGACTAGAAGGGTTTCTCCACGATTTCAGATTCCAGTCCTCATGATTCTGAATAAAGGGGCTGACATAACGGTGAGATACGAGACTGCCGTGTACCAAGTCAGACTAGCTCAGGGTTTCAAGGCAGGGGACATTCCCTGGAGAGCCACTGCCATTCAATGTGAACAATACTGAGTTAGATGGCATCTACTTTTTTTTTCCTTCAGTGTGCACAACACAGACTTGAGTCTCATGGGTCAGACCTCTACTTTTGAAGAATGTCAGCTGTTGTTCAGTATTGGTAAGCATTAGAATACTTTGCAATATTGAACAGTATTATTTTCATATCTGAAAAAGCTTTCAAGTAAGAATTATTGACTCAAACTCCTTTTTCAGTACTAAAAGCTGGACCAGATGTGCCTTTCTGTGCACAGAAGGGGTTGTATTAAAAGCATTGCTAAGGGGAGGGTGTTCCATCAGCACAATTGTTTATCCTTGTGCAGCAAAAAAGTTCTTCCCCTCTCCATCCCCCACATGCCCCCTAAATCTGCCCTGAGGGTTTGCCCAACCCTTCAAAGTAGAATTGGGGGTGGCAGGGGCATGGAGGAGGGAAAGCCTGGAATTATTTAGCTAAATACCACCCAAGGTGCCTTCTTGTTCAAGGAAGGATTGCTGTATGCCTTGTGCTAGAATGTTGCTTGAGGAGAGTGAAATCAGATGTTCTTCCACTTCCACTTGTGCAAAGACTTCTACTAGTGCATAGCCTTTTGCACAATCATATGAGAATGGCTGCAGAACCTTCTTAGTGCACACTGTGTAAAGCCTTACATCAGCTGGTTCTAGGGCACTTAGCATGCTTAAGATTTTGTAGACCTGTTCCCCATAAACATAAGACCACCCTCGCATAAAGTCCAGTCTCATATTTCCCACTATGGCACAGTAGATGCTGCTGGGAATCCCACAAGCAGGACACAAGAGCAACAGCACCCTGCTTGCTGTTCTTCCCAAGCTGATACAGGAAGGAGCAGCAGATGTTTAACATTAGTTAAAGTCCCTGCCAGCACTGCACGTAACACAGATCACTGCTGCCAAACATTAACATGGTGGGATGGCTTTAAAGTGGAATGCTTACCGTTGGTTTCTGAACTTTTTTCCAGTCATCCTGCAACACAAAAACAGTGATAAGCAACACAATGTAGAATGCCCCCAAATACCAAAAGTTATTTATACATGTAAAACTAGTACAGTAAATTTCACCCTGTTGATTAGTGAATATATGGATACACATACATTCTAAAAGCATTTCGCAACCTATCTTCTTTGTAGTATTTGCTGATAATTTTCAACATGCTTCCTTATCCAAGTCTATTCTACCAAACTTATTTTGAGTTTGCCTCCAGAAAAGTTGCTCCACATTATCTCCTCATGAGATAAACATTACTGTAGCTTGATTAGATGCTCCCTGGTAGCACACGAGCTACTTTCAAGTCCTCCAGCATAACGGATCTTTTAGCATAACCGAACAGTTAAGTGTGGGTGGAAGACTTTTAAAAAAGCAAAGGAAACAAAATTATTAAAAATAAATCTTGCAGCAATGTTTTGATGCCAAGATCAGTTTTCTACAAAGCTTCTAATGCCTTTTAGACACAGGGGTGTTATGAAACAGGAGGAACCGTTTGGCTCTTTTGAAAAAGCGGACTTTGTAACTGCTTCTTGATTCCAGTACTAAAGTCATGAAGGTACTTTTGCATGGAACACAGCAAGTATCAGTGCACTTTGAACACCCATTACAGTAGTTTATCACATGCTAAACAGAAGCAAATTTCTTCATGTACCAGCTCCAGAAATATCAAACGCACCAGTCTAAACTTTAGTTTGGTAACAGCATGAAGGGGCTTGATTTAGAGACGTAACCTCAAAACCCTATACCGCTGTGTATCCTACTAAATATGATGAAAGGAAAGAATGCAGGAAGTGCCATGCAGACATACCTGGCATAAATAGCTTGGCAACACTACTAATTCTCTGCACAAAACGCATAAATGATCCCGATCATTTCCTAGGTCCTCTGTTAAGTGTCAGAGGGCTTGGGTAGCGTTTGTCCTTTACCCAACCAAAAGAGACAGCACCTTTGTGTGTGCATGCATGCATATGCATACACACACACACACACACACACACACTGGGAAGTTCTGTGATGTGCAGAGAATTTTGGAAACTGAAGACTGTTTCAGTTAGTGCTAGAATTTAATTAATAGCCATCAGGATAAGTCCCGTGGTTAGCTATGGGAACTGCATTGGTGGGATCTTAGCAAAGAGTAATTGGTTCAGATATAACATTAAGTGTTGCTGAAGGGCATACATTTGTTGCCCTGGATTCAAATGTCTTGCAGTGCAGCAAATGTGTGTTCATATCAGTCTCTTCTAAATCACAAGCTTGGTTTTAAACTTCTACTGCCGCTGCCAATTTATTGCTGTTTTACTTATTTATTTATTTTGCTTCTTAACTGTTATTTATTTCTCACTTTCCCAATCCATCCTGAACACAGGAACCAACTATTTTAAAACAAAAAACTTAAAACCTAAAAAATAGCTTAGAACTTGCAGAGAAGCACTAATAAACTATACACTGAAAAAAGTCATCAACTGATGGGAGGAGGTGCTGATAACCTGCTTTACTGCACAAACATTTTTAATCTCAAATTACAAAGTTACAACTTGACACAGAACACTGCATCGCAGCATCCAATTTGATATGTTCATTAAGGTTTTAAAAATATGGAGAAATATACAGGTAAAAGAAAGCACACATTCTGTACATGGAAAGTGCACTTACTGGATGAAGTTCTCCTATAATGAATGTATCCGACAATGTTCTGGCATCTGTGGAATGGCCAACGTCTTCAAAACTTTCTGTAGCATCTCCTCCCGCTTGTTCCCTTAGAACCTCTTCACCACCTGGGTGCTGTAAGAAAACAACATATGAATAAGTATCCATGAACTTTACAAATAGTTTTTTAAAGCTTTCTGTCCCAATAGGTATCAGTACATCTTAAAGCTGTCAATTTCACAAATGGAACTGCGACAGATTGCATGCTCAAAAAGGAATCTGGTAGTACCTTAAAAACTAACAAATGTATTATGGCATGAGTCTTCATGCATTGTCCACTTCATTAGATGCACAAAATGTTGACCTGAGCCGCTGAAAGTACACTTCTAAGCCAAACTGGCTGCCAATCACTATCAATGAATGGCCCTAAATTCTAATATTAGATGCATAACAAGTGTGCATATGGTTCTTGTTTTTTGGAAAAGTTGAGCACACAGAAGAACACTATTTTGCCCAGCAACTACCATCAGTATTGTAGATATTGTAGACACAAACATATTGTAAACACAAGGAAAATACCACTAGAATATATTTGTGCTTGTGATTAAAACAAAGTTCAATCATCCAGCTTTATACTGTCCTTCATAAAAATGTATTTTAAATTGTTGGCTGGTTTATGTCTTACAACTGCAATATTTGCAGCAGCTTCTGATCAAGTCCCCCAAAGATGTGTCTTGTTCCTTTGAAACACAGGTTGGGACTGGCTACCTTGAAGCCTCACTTTCGCCCATATCAGTCTAATGGCACTTTAAGAAGAGTTTCCACAGCCCTACTGCCAGCAGCATGCTTGTCAGTAAAACCAAACCAATTAGGCTGGCAAGCCACCATATTTGTGTAACTCCATTCCAGTTGGGAACAGGCAGGCCCCAAGTGTGCAGGTGCTTCTGTGGGCATTAAAACTGATTTGTAACTGCATTTTCATAATCTGAGGAATTTAAAAAATCATGCTGCAGTTTCTGTAGTGCTACTCTGTCATTTTATGGTTTTATCAGGCTGTTATGTTTTAAATATCTTAAAATTAACTTACCTAGTGATGATTGTTGTTGATTGATTGTGCTGTGGTTGTGAATGTTTTGTGTGTGTGTGTGTGTGTGTGTGCGCGCGCACACACACACACACACACACACACACAAAGAGCCATGTGTAGGAGAAAGCTTTCCTAAAAGGCAGGGTTTAAAAAACACACCATTAAATAAATATGCACTCTCTTTCTCTCTGGCACTCCCACGGTGAAGTTTGACCCAGCCTCCCCCACTGGCAGTGGGCCCTCTGCCAGTGCAGAAGTCCAATCTGCCTGTGTTTAACTTATTCTTATTGCATAAAAGGGGATGAGTGAAGTTCTTAATCCACGTTATATGATCCTGTAAATGCTGCTCCACCTAAGTACTATAACATTCATTATATAAAAATAAAGATGTTTTTAACCCTGAGAGCACTTCATACGAGTCAGGCTTTTGAAGCACTTGTTTAGCCAAGATCTTATTCCAGAATTAATTTCACACATAACCGACACTGCAGCTCTTAAATCAAAGAGAAGTTGAAAACACTAACAAAACAAAACCACATTTCCTAGTCTTGTCATTTCAGGACTTCGAGAGGAATGGGAAAGAAAGCACATATGCAAGGCAGTATGTAGGCAAGTATGTAGGCACATATGTAGGCAACTTTCTCAATTTCCCCATATCAAACCATTCAAAAGAAACCACTCCTGTCTAGAGATGCCCTGGCAACATTCTAAAAACACACGCGTAGGTATTATTTGTTGCCTAAAAGTGATAAACTTGTAAAAGTTTCCAAGTTTCTTTGCATAAAAAAAATAATTGGGTGAAGAAAGTGCACAGTGCTTATGCACAGTGACTAAGCAAAATGGGGCAAAAAGTTGCACAAGTGTGTAGAGCAAAGATTACATGTGGCCGTCAATCCCCAAAAGGTTAAGGAAGTGCATGCTGGAGAGAGATTATGCAAGTCAAAGCGAACGTGCAAATATGACTGACAAAATCCTGCCCTTGAATCAGTACTGATAACTATCCAAGCAAAGGAGTAGAGCAAAGGTCTTGAACGACGCTGCAGCTGATTGCTGTGGGATTTACAGAGCATTCAGCAAACTGAATCCAGAAAACAGGTTGAACAACAAAGTGTAACTTACACAACTCTTCAGAGATGATGAGCCCAAACTCCTATTAGCACATCTATACTGAAAAAAAGGTGAATAGCTGCCATGAAATGTCATTTCATGAAGTTACCCATTTTTTAATGGAGAAGGAACTGAAGAGAGAAAGCTTCCTGTTCTGAATTGTAAGGCACAGAGCAATATTAAAAATACTGAAAAGGAGAAATATGGTCAGATTTAAAACAGTTTTCCCTTTGACAGCACAAGACGCATTCACCTGAGTAATCTTTAGGTCAGTCCACAAGTAAAGATGTAAAAATATACTGTGCTGTCAAATGCTACTGGCTGGCCATTGTAAGAACCGAATGCCTGAATATGTGGCCCATAGGCCTGATCCAGTGGCCATGTTCTTCTGAACTGAGAGAAGATCTCAAAGTCACAAACCAAGACCCCAACATTCCTTAGTACAAAGAACTGTACTAAGGTTTAGACCTGTGTCTCCTTAGATGATTTGTACTGATAAAGATTACATATATTGTAGATAACCTGCAGAATAGCTACATATTTCCCATGGAGAAAAAGCAGTGAAGTAAAAGCAAAACAAAAGCAAAAACACCCCACCAGACTCTTGTACAGTGGTACCTCGGGTTACATACGCTTCAGGTTACATACGCTTCAGGTTACAGACTCCGCTAAACCAGAAATAGTACCTCGGGTTAAGAACTTTGCTTCAGGATGACAACAGAAATCGTGCTCCGGCGGCGCAGCAGCAGCAGGAGGCCCCATTAGCTAAAGTGGTGCTTCAGGTTAAGAACAGTTTCAGGTTAAGAACGGACCTCCGGAACGAATTAAGTACTTAACCCGAGGTACCACTGTACGTGTAAATCTTTCCAGGTGTAGAAACAATGTTTTGGTTTCTTATCTCTTCAAAATATTCACATACCTGCTACACCTTGGAATTCAAAGTATTCACTAGATATACATGGAAAGATAAGAAACTTATTTCTGTTTGGATGATAAATGGCTTCTTTCAGCAATTAACACAAATGTAAGCTCTGTTCACTTCATTCCACACTAGACAATAGCACCACTGGAAGCAACAGTGGAAAAAGCAGATGAAGGAAATAGCAGCTCAAAGACACTCCCTTGACACACGAATAACATGTTCTCAAAAATACCACCATTCTACACATTTTAAACCCAAGCAGAAGCAGCCTCTAGGGCACAGGTAGCCAACTTGGTGCCCTCCAGCAGTTGTGGACTACAACTCCCTTTGGGCCCAGCCAGCATGGTCAATCATCGGGGATGAAGGGGGTTGTAGGCAACCTTTTGAAGGCCACAGGTTAGCCATCCTAATTATTGTGGTTGCCTAATACAAATTATTCAAAAAGTAGCTGTGTACGTGGGACAATTCACAAATAAAAGATTGTAAAATATCTTAAGTACAGTGATACCTTGGTTCTCAAACAGCTTAGTTGTCGAACAAATAGGCTCCCGAACACTGCAAACTGGGAAGTAAGTGTTCTGGTTTGCGAACGTTTTTTGGAAGCTGAACATTCGATGCGGCTTCCGCTTGAGTGCAGGAAGCTCCTGCAGCCAATCGGAAGCTGCACCTTGGTTTTCGAATGGTTTCGGGAGTTGAACAGACTCGCGGAATGGATTAACGTCAAGAACCAAGGTACCACAGTATACAACTAAAATATCAAGGGTGTAAGTGTAACAAATAAACGAGTGACTTTGGCAAAGTCATGTTACTACACAAACAGTTTTTCCTTCTCTTTCTTTTTTCAAAGCATACTAGATACTCTTCTCCTAAAACATACAAACTACCTTTTAACGCATTAAACTTGTGAGGAGAGGGAAAAGTCTGATACATAGCTCTTAAAATCCTGGCTGCATATACACAAGTACCTTTTATGAGAGCAACAACTGCAAAAAAAAAATGCAATGATGGTGAACAAAGTCTGCAAGCCAGCACTCATACTTTACAACACTGCTGTAGCAGTCGTTTTTAAATGTTAGATTTTAGCCTACAAGTTCATATGTCAGAGCAGAGATCACAGTTCCCTGCTCCTGTTACCCAAAAGCAGAATAGTTCCCCAAAAGTTTTTCCATGAGCATAATAGACACCAGCTGACTTTCACAGGCTTTAATGACAACCTAATTTCTTTTTATTTGCTTTCTGTGTAAAATTTTCTGGGTTTATCCAAGAGTGCTAATGTACATCCAATGGGTTTACACTTCCCACAAGAATTGGGAGTGGTCTTGTAAGTCATACCCAGGTCAAAGACCAAATTTGTAAAGTGCGACAGCAGTAAAGTGGGTACCTTAAATAAATAAAAAAGACACATTAATAGGAGGAACCATGAAGCACTTGCACAGTTTGCAAGTCTTGACTGCAGCCTGCACGGACTTCTAGAGTTGTTTGAGTATGAACTGAGAGCTGCCTTTCAAATGTAGCAACCAGCCGTGTGACATCAGGGTAATTTCAGTTTCAAACTTTGCTCAAGTTGAACCTGCCTGTCTCAGCTTGTTCACTTTCTTTGTGAAATATAAATATGTTCCTTACATCACAAATGAAGATCTTACGTTGCTGAAATACAGTGTAATGGGCTGTCTGAATCAGGTGGAGGATTGGCCAAGGACCCAGGAAAAGGCTCCAGCGGGATGTGGAAGCCTCTGCCAGATGCCGAAGAGTCTGCTAGTGAGGATGGGGGGGGGGGTTGGCAGCTTCCTCAATCTTCTCACGTCTTCTCCGTCCCCAAGCCGTGAATTCTGCCTCCCTCTCTGTCCCTGCCTCCTTTTCCTAGCTTGACAGAGCCTCTCTGTGGTGCACTCACTCCAGAGCTGTCAGATACTGGGAGTGGCTCTATCTGCCCAGAGGGGGATGTTTCAGGAGTCCTGACCACCTCTCAGGAGGCAGAGGCACCTCCCCCATCACCTAAGTAAAGGAGCAATCAAAAGAGAAGGGAACAAAGGGTTCCACCTACCAGGCATGGATAAAGGCTGCATAAACACTTACAGCCTTCAGAGGAGTCCACCCCATTCCTATATACAGGATAGCAAAGGGGTGTAACAGTGACAGTGGTGGAGCAACTAACAAAGCTTTGCCAGTAACAGCACCTACCTTTCTTGTACAGTGGTACCTCAGGTTAAGTACTTAATTCGTTCCGGAGGTCCGTACTTAACCTGAAACTGTTCTTAACCTGAGGCACCACTTTAGCAATGGGGCCTCCTGCTGCTGCCGCGCCACCGGAGCACGATTTCTGTTCTTATCCTGAAGCGAAGTTCTTAACCCGAGGTAATATTTCTGGGTTAGCGGAGTCTGTAACCTGAAGCGTATGTAACCTGAAGTGTATGTAACCTGAGGTACCACTGTAGCTCTCTTTAGGATTAACAATGTGTATTGCCTGAAGTGCCTTAAGGCAGCAATTTGCATATGTATTGCAGTAATCTAAGCATTAAAGCCTTTCAAAATAACTCTTCCTCCTGTCTTTGTTCTTGAGCAACTGGAAGCCAGGACACACAGATCCAGGAGCGGAGGAAGGGGTGTGTGGTGGGTGCAACCCACCCCCGGTGTCACCACTGAGGGGGGTGACAAAATGATGGGCAGCACTCACCGCGGGGCCTGCAGAGCAACCGAGCCATGTGTCTGGGAGAGATGCACCCATAGGAGCTTGGGCGCACAGAGACTCCACACTGCCCACACGGTCCGCCCGCTGTCTCCCCGCTCCCAGCTGTAGGGCAGCTGAGTGGGAGGAGGAAGGCAGACTCTGGAGGCCCTGCGGTGCACCCTGCCCCTATGGGTGACTCGCCCCGACCCTGGGCACGCCACCTCAGGCGCCCGAGCGGCTTCCTCTGCAGCTGCACAGATCTAAAGCATTCTGTTAGATGTCATCATTAAAAATGAATTCTGCATGCAAGCTGAAATAAAAATGCTTGCTCCAATGGTTTTCAAAGTTCATACTATCAAGAAGCTTTGTGTTCCATATTGATTAGTCTGGAAGTCTACTTTAGCGTGGGAAACTCTATACAGTCTCAGTTTACACAGGTCTGAAGCCTTTGCTTACCATGCATAGTTGCTGTCCCATGCAAACTAGATGCACCCTAAAACAAAGCATTCATCTGCGGTTACACAATGCAGACCAAGATTAGTCATTTGGAACTGTTCTTTCTGAAGCAAGTTGTCTTCCAATGCCTATTTTCTCAATGAAGAACCTCAAATAAGCTTCTGGGAGAACCAGTTTTTGTAGGAACTGTTTGAGAGTGGCGTATCAGTTAAATCCAACAAAAGAAAACCAATCCCATGGCGGAATGATATTGGGGAATGGCAGAAGCTCAGTGGTAGAGCATCTGCTTTGCACGAAGAAGCTCCCAAATTAAATCACTGCCACTCAGTGAGGACAATCAAGACTTCAATGGACTAATGCTCAGTGTAAGGCAGCTTCCTATCTTCCCCACCCTGTAAAGGCAAAATGTAATATTTATTTTTAAGCAAGTGTACAGATACAATGTCATCAAACTCTCTATATAGAGTTATGGGATCCTAGATCTAGGAACACTTTCACAGCCATCTAGGCCAAACCCTTGCTCAAAAGGAGGGCAACCCATCCAGTATCACCCCCCCCCAAAGTTTGCATGTAAATCAGACCACAGTGCATAAAAAGCACAAAGAACCTGAACATAACCACGTGCTACAGTTAGTTCAAACTCAGAAGAGAGCACTATGAGTTCCTGCAATACATGTAGAATTGAAGGGAGAAAGGCAGATTAAGACAATACCTATTAAATGCAGATTATCTGTACCCAGCACACCCTAAATCCTGTTCATTCCCAAAAATGAGGTGGGAGGCTTGTTCTGGATGCTGCCAGTTATCAGTGACCAATTAACAATATTAAATCTGCAGGTGCCTAGTGTTGGTACTGAAGTTACACAACAGGCTAACCAGGGAACATCCTTGGAAAAGATTTGTTAATATCACTACCTTTTAAATATAGCTAATTTGAGAAGGGTTGGGGCGTGGTCTGGCCATTTTAGTTTCTTTTTTAAGACTCTTGCTCTCCTATTATTTTATGTGCTTAGTTATGATAGAGAAAAAAGTTTATCCACATATTTAACTATAAGTTTTAATGGCGGTGGGGGCAGCTCCCAGATTTCCTTCTTCAAAAATTCAACCTTTCACTCTTCAACCCTTCTGTCAGTATAGAGACATTAAAACAAAATGTGGTCAGTTTCAACTCAAATATGAAACATAAATAGTCAAGATTAGGTTCTTGCCAAAGGGTGCTCATTTTGTAATTATTGGTGCTGATGGCTTATTGATCACAGGGGTCAGAAGAGTTCCTGGTATTGCAACCTGGTAGGTGAAAGGGTGAGCAAACAAGTTTGTCCTCATTTACATTTGAGACTTGAAACAGTATTCCCCCCACTAAAACAGGAGCTCTCACATGCCTATCAGATGCCTTGGGACAACTACCCAACTAGACTATCATTCCACAGCACATTTCAGTGGTGAGCACTGAGAGCAATGGACTCAAAAGGGCCCCAATGAGAAACAAGAAGGAGGTGCCAGCATGCTTAGGGGGCAGAAGCACACCAAATAGTTTTCACCCTTCATTTTTAAAAACTATGTTAAAAAAAACTAAGAATGCTAAATGGAGAATAAGCTCAGTCAGTAAACACACAATGTTGACTGCCAGCTGTAAAATAAAATTGATAACAGCAGGTGCGAAGGAATGAATGGGGATCTTGCATTGAAGAGCCCAACATTTTGAGCATTGGGACACATTTTCAAATGTAAGAAACTGTTATGGGCACCACAAAATACGCATTTCACTGAAGAAAAATGGGTATTGGAATCCCCTCCGTAAGACAAAATACCTATGCACCCCAAAACATAAAATACAACCCCAAACAAGGAACCCCACATTATGTAACGAAAGAGAAGTCAAAACCCCTTGTTTTTCTTAACAATTAAAAAACTGGAAGGGGCAGTGGGCCCTGGCAGATCCATCTATGGTGCCCATGGGTGCCATGTTGGGGACCTTTGGCCTATAATGCTCTGGAGAAGGGTAGAACTGGAACAGGCTGAGACCCTGAACAGGAGCATGCCAGTCAGAATGTGAAGAAACAATGCAGTATTTTGTTACAGGTCCCAATAGTTTACCTACTACTGTAAACAATTTAGACTATAAAGGAAGTTTGCTACAGTTTTCCCAAACCTGAAAAGCTTCCTCATGTTTAGCACACAATGTCTGAGGGATGCAATTATGTTTATCTGTGGCAAAAAAAAATATTCTTGAAACAACTTTTTTCCTTTTTTGTGATTGAAGTAAGTATTGTGAGAATATATCTAAAAAGGAGAAAGTGTCTTCATAGCATACTATCTTCAATCAGAATAAGCTGATGAAATAAATGGCTACATAAAATCAATTTCACAGGCGAAAGAGCCACCGGTGGCTTTCATGCAATATTGAAACCAAGATATTGCTGTCAGAGAACAAGATCGGAAATTAGCAAAAAGTTTGCTAGAAGGTTTAAACCATATTCTTATCAGTGCACATGGGTGTACCAAGAAATACAGTCAGCAGATGACACACAGCAGCTCAGTTATTTATAGAATTAAATTTAAATCAACAGTGACAACTGAAAGATCCTAAGCTTCCTTAAGAGCTCCCCAATCCCCTGACTCGCAGTCATTTTTTGGGCTGTAATAGTTGTATGGCATGAACCTTAACATCTTCCCTAGCTACAACTAGTAAGCAGGTCTCTGTCAAGGGTGGCTAACTTGTGGCCCTTCAGATGTTATTGGGCTCCAATTCCCAGCAGCTCCAACCAGCCTAGACAACAGCCAAGGATGATCAGAGCTGCTGTTCAGCAACATCTGAAGGCCCAAAAGTTGGTGACCCCTGGTGTATATCAATGCAACGGTGCTGTATGTTTGATGAATGGACCAAGGTACATAGCTGTACCTCCTTGCTATTTAAAACCCACCCAAGATGTGCAGGACTGCAGTGCTGCAGATACTCTTGACACAATCCTTCACTGCAGCCCTCAACATGAATCCTTTGCTTAACATAACTATGCTAGGAAAGTGAAAAAGTGGAGACAGCACTAGCAAAGGGATTCCAATTCAATTCCCACGTTGATGCAACATGATCTTTTCCTCCTTTGGAGAAACAACCCACCCTGTGATATGGTAACATTCCACAAGTGACAACTTCTGGCTAGTCATCCAACCATACTTCTTTCTAAGAAGGCAATGCAAACCACTGGGCAGCAGCAGCAGGACTTAATGGGATGGCAGACACATCTGCAGCCCTGGCGGTTGCACCAGTCAGAGCGGATGTCGGGCCCCTTGCTGTGCCAGTTATCAAGACTGGTGTAGTGAAGAGGCCCAGATTGGGCCCACTGCTGTCACGTCATGGGAAGACAGGCTCAAGATACAGCAGATCTTGTGCCCACCTCTCTCTGCCCCCACAATACCCTGAAGGGTTCTACTGGCTAAAAGATCCAAAACCACTGGGGTTCCCCCAAATCTGTGCAAAATTTATATGTGCTCAGGAGTGTAGCTCACTTTCTCTCTCCCATTATTTCTAGTGGGAAGGAAAATATAGGAAAAGTTGGGGGGAAATGTTAACAGCCCGGAAACAGAAGGACAAATGCATTGTCTGCATTTGGATTCTCCCCACCTTAGGGGAGCAGGAGCGTTATGGATTTCAGAAATAGCACTGTACAGATACACAAGTTCTAAATACAGCATCTTAGAATATACAATAGTTCAGCTCCTTGATGAATAAAGGAGAAAGTGAAGTGAACGTGGGCTGTTTCTAATCAGCTAATCAGTACAAAGATGACATTACTCAACCCTTTATACTTGAACAACTGATGGATGAACCGTGTCATATTGCTTGCAAGAAATGGCCTGTAAGCATCTGGTTACAACAGTTTCATTGCAAAGCTTGCCATAAATTTGGCAACCTTGCTTTTCCAAGCTATTCCAGTTCCATCTAGCTCATCCCACAATGATAGTGCCTCTTACAAAATTGTGTTGTTATACAATAAAATATTACTTTGCAACAAACGATACAGATGGAATATGTTGTATGTGAGCTGAACTTTCTCATCTTCAAAAGCACTACAGGATCAGAAAGTCACTTCGACGAACAGCAAAAATAACAAAACGCCTACGAGGAAGCACTTTAACGGAAGCACCTCCTTGCTCTCTGAACGGTCCCCATCTATCTGTCTATCCCTCGTCTCAAAACACCCAGAGGAGGAGCTTTTCGCTGAGAGCAAGTTGCCAGCGTGCATGATCGTGCAGAACTACTCCAGCCCCCATCGCCTCTTCGACAGGACTGAAATCGCCTGCAAGCTCAGCAGCCCCACCTTTCCAGCCCCTTATACTTGCCTCCTCCAGAAACTTTGTGAGGTCATACACACGGTGGTGCAGGATGATCCAGGTGCTTTGGCTGTGATTGTGCTTCTGGATCTCTTCGAGGGTATAATAGCAACCCCGCCACGGCTCCTTTCCAGGCTTGCTGTCGCCGCTAGCATTCACCTTCGCCATCGCCCCAACTCTTAGCTTCGCTTCTCAACCTGGCAGATACTGACCCTTGGGCGCAGCAGCGGCGGCAGATCTCCAACTGGGAACTCTGACCCAGGACAGCCTCGCCCCCTCGCGCACGCGCAGATCGAACCTTTCCGCCGCCAGCTCCGTAATCACGAAGCACCGCCCACTTCTCGGAGGAAGGCGGGGAAAGCTGTCCTAGCTGGCTGCCCATTGGTTGGGATGTGGGAATTAAGAAGCTCGTAGGTTGGTTTGTTTATGTGTTTGTCCTTTCCGCAGATTCCAAGAACTCAAGGCGGCGGCTTTCTTTTCTGATAGAAAAAGAGAGCTCGGAAGGTGGAAACCAAAGCACAACATTCACGCTGACATAGGGAAGTAGAGCCAGTCACGCAATGCTGCGAAATGAAGACGAGACTGTTGCTACCTGGATTTCAGCCTTATATAACAAACAAACAACAAAAAACCAATAAACAAAAAAATTATGTAACAAAAACAAAAAGGAGCCCCTTAGCATCTTACAAAACGTGTTTCTTATTACCGTGTTGCTTTTTTGTTTAATTTATTTCATACAAATTATCATAGAATTTTAAAGTAAGAAGGGACCAAGAGGGTCATCTAGTTCAACCTCCTGCAATGCAGGTATCTTTCGCCCAGCAAATTGTTACGTTTGATTGTAAAAGCAACCCTCAAAGCAGTTTATAAAACAGATAAAACAAAATAATAACATCAACAAGAAACATTAACATTAAAAGAAGAATCAAACAGAATGAAAATAAATAGATTCAAACTCTCATCAACACCAGGGCAGGCTTCCTGAAACTGAAATGCTTTTAGCAACTGCCTAAAAGAGTACAGTGAGGTGCCTACCAGATGTCAGTAGGCAAGTGCAGCTGCTGCAACAATAAAAGATTGAATTCTTTGAAATGCAGAACCGGTATTATGTGGCACCTGTAAGAAGCGGTTGAGTTGTTATCTGCTTTGGACACCTTATGGAGTTGCAAGATATGGATTCTCTACATCACTGTTTCTCAAACAGTGAGCCAGCCAGGAACCCACCTTGGGCCACTTTCAGGTGGGCCACAGTGCCACAGACTGCCCTGCCCCTAACCATGGCATAGCCTTTTGGTTGGACTGATGCCAGTACCAGCAACACTTTACGTTTATGGAAGACAATCTTACTTGGCTACAAGTGATCGCCAAAGAAGAACATGCTGAGTAGAGGGAGACAAAGAAGGGAAGGAAGTGCTTCCTCTGAGGGGAAAGGGCCAGAAGAGATGTTGAAGGAAATTAGAAAATGAGATAAGAAGTTCATATTTATTATGAACAAACAAAGTGGGAATAGAAAGGAAAGGGATAAAAGAGGAAAGCTGTTATAGGAGAAAGAAGTGAAAAGGACCAGGGAGGAGGGATGAAAGAAACTTGCAGAGTGGGATTTGGGGAGCAGGGAGAATAGGGTACAAATTGGAGAACGGGAGAATAAATTACCAGACATTTGGTTTTTTTAAAAAAAAAATACACTGAGAGGTATGTGGAGGTAGGAAGAGATAATATAAAAGAATCCATTTAGAGCCTCTGGATGAGCAAATTCTTCCTAAATTGGAGGGTCACAATACCTCACAGCAAATGTTTGCACTTAGTCTGAAAAAAGCTGGGCTATGGAACTCCTTGCTATAAAAAAAAAAAAGACTATGGCAAAGAATTTACCAATTTCCAAAGATGTATTAGGTATCAGTTGACAGTAGTGTAAGTAAGTGCCAGCATATAATACCAGATTTTATCTCCAACTGCCACCATATTGACTGGCTCAGTCCCAGTACCACATTTTGTAACTAGTGGGCCTCATTAATATGCAACCATCTGAAGTGGTTGAATGCCCTAGGGCAGGGGTCTGCAACCCGCGGCTCCGGAGCTGCATGTGGCTCTTTTACACCTTTGCCACAGCTCCGGGGCGGATACTAGCGAGGGGAGGAGGCGCGTTGTGCGCCCCGACACTCCCCACTGTGGCGGGCGCTGTACTGGCTGTGATGTCGCATGGGGGCGGTGCTTGCGTTAGTCACGCACCGTCCCGACGTCACCTTCCCGCCCGCCCGCTACAATGTAAGGGGCATGTACGCTGGTCACTGCATTGAAAGGGGCATGTACGCTGGTCACTGTTTTGAAGGGGAGTGAAGAACACACACACACAAAAAGGTAACTTGTTAATTTAACGTTTATTTCTATGAGGAGGAGTAATTCTGAAGGGTCAAACAAAGAAATAATAATAAAAAGTGACAAAAAAGTTATTTTTATCATGACGAGTTTTGCGGCTCCCAGTTTTTTTTCCTTCGGAAACGGGTCCAAGTGGCTCTTTTTGTCTTAAAGGTTGCAGACCCCTGCCCTAGGGTATTAAGCCTGAGAATCTATGTTCTCAATAGATAAAGGTAAAGGTAAAGGTACCCTTGCTCGTACGGGCCAGTCGTGTCTGACTCTGGGGTAGTGCGCCCATCTCGCTTAAGAGGCCAGGGGCCAGCGCTGTCCGGAGACACTTCCGGGTCACGTGGCCAGCGTGACGAAGCTGCTCTGCCAAGCCAGCACCAGCGCAGCACACGGAAACGCCATTTACCTTTCCGCTGGAGTGGTAGCTATTTATCTACTTGCACTTAGGGGTGCTTTCGAACTGCTAGGTGGGCAGGAGCTGGGACCGAACGACAGGAGCTCACCCGCCGCGGAGATTCGAACCGCCGACCATACAAACGGCAAGTCCTAGGCGCTGAGGTTTTACCCACAGCGCCACCCATGTCCCTCTCATTAGATACATATGTACAGTATTAAGTCCACTTAGGAAACAATGGTGTAACTCAAACACTATTTTAAAGACTTGTTTTCCCTCATCCAGACTTAGGTTGGCTTTAGACAGTAGCACCCCTGCTGCTGCAGAGTTTGAATCTCGTATAAATTTACATCAGCTTAATTTACACGGGTCTGCTTTACACCAGCTTCTTGTACATAAGATTGCTCACTAGCATTGTTTCAGCAGTTGCAACTGAATTAAATTGCAGTTTATAAAGGTTTCTAACTTTATATCGTAGTCATTTGTTTTTAATGTGCTGCAAGATTCTTGGCAGTTTTTCTATTCTAGAGCCTTATTTACCTATTCAAGACTATGTCAGTTCAAAACTGTTAAATATTTCACAATTGAGCAGGTATGAAATCTGATGTGAACTCCATTAGTCTCTAACAAATTTCCTTTGGATTAAAAACTGCTTCAGTAACAGTATAATGCTATATAGGTCTACTGTTTTCAAAGGGGCTTATTCCCAGTTGAGTGGATACAGTATATGATTGCTGTCTAAAACATTCAGGTGTTTAGTTTAAAAACCAAAAACAAGTTTGGCTGAAAAACCAAAAGGAAGATGATTTTCTAAAATACGCAGAGATCTATATGCTTACTATAGCGTTCACACATTACAAAATGCCAGTTGTTCCTAAAATTTGGGTGGCCGTAATGCTGAGTCCCCATCCCCTTGAGACAGAAAAATATATTGTCCATAATACTTTAGGAGTAATATGTCATCTTGTACACTTCTACATGGATGCTTTAGATTAGATTCCTGCATTGCAGGAGGTTGAACTAGACTGACCCTTGCGATCCCTTCCAACTCGACAAATTCTAGGATTCTATACATACACAGTGCAGTTTTCTGGGATCCAAGCAAGAATTCTTGTTACGATTCTCTGCCATGGTCATTAAGGAAATCACCCGCTGGAGCTAGCAGAAATAAGCTAATGGGGCTTTGTTCAAAATAAACCCTCTCAAAATTGCACCGCAGTATAGCAGGGAACTCAGGGAACTTTGAAAGTCCAGCACTGTATGTGATCTGAGGCTCAGTAAAAAGGAATGTATTTATTTTTTTTAACCAATTGCGAAGACCTTCACACACACAAAGAGAGAGAGAGAGATAAGGAAAGGGTCCTCGATTCAAGGAGAACACTACTTGTGCTTCCTGGCAGGCAGGCCCCGTGAATGTTACAGCATAGATTATCTGCAGGAGATGAGAAGTCGCATTGCTCCTGGGCTGCTTGTTCCTCATTCCGACGCCGCCTCCTTCCAGGACCAAAGGTTGCCCTTTGCGGAATCGGGCGCCTCTCCTGAACTTTGGACGCGGGGAACGTCGCCACGACCAATACTGCCTTGCAAGAAGCGGGGGCTTGTTCCGCATGCCACCCCCAAAAAAGTAGTTAGTCATTTTCCCCCTCACACTATCTCCCTCTTAAGCCCCGCGGGAGAGTTGCGAGGGGAAAGTTGAGAAGCTTGTGAAGGGGAGGCGGGGAGCCGGTTTCTCAGCAGAAAAGTCGAAGAGGCGACCGACTCCCCTATATATCGTGTTCCTTCTCCAAACCGCGCCCTTTCCTCCCTCATGACTCCATTTTCTCCAACTTTCTGTCATCGTGATTGCTCCCCTCAAAGAGGGCGCTTCCAGGGGACGCTGCCTGTGTAACGTTCCCCCCCCCTCACGTTTCCCGCGCTTTTCTTGCTAGGTGGCTTCTATGCTCGGCTTCTCACTGGGTTCTTGCCCTCACGATTGCTTCCCCGCTGCCTTTCGAGGTAGCCCTCCCAGTAAGAGGAGAGATCCACCTCAGGACGCTCAGATCTTTGGAACAGATTCAAAGGCTGCCCTGCAAAACTCTTCACAACTCGACCATCAGAGCCAAACTAGACTTTCTGGGCAAATGGTGATTTGCAACAGGAATGTGGCACATATACAGCAATAGGTATCCATAAGCCACAGGGGCCTGCTTCACACACGCACCTGAATCCCTCGATTTCTCTGCACTTTGTGACAGGCAGCTGAATGTGTGAATGGACACAACTGAGTAACGCTGAATATATTATTACCATTTTATTTATATGCCACCCTTCCTCTTGATGGGGCAGGGAACCATGTGATAATAAGCACACCAGCTGAACGCAATAATTACAAGCTGTGCAGCTTTAAACATAACATTATACAACAGCGCAATAGCAACATTGTTAAAAACTGAGGGAAAAAATCATCCCTAAAGCCCAAGTGAGCAAAAGTGTTTGTAGTTAACATCTGAAACTTAACAGCCTCAATGCCCATTGTATTTCCTCAGTCAAGGTGCTGCCACCAAGAAGGCTGTGTCTTGAGTCACCACGCCATTGGTCATGCCCATTGGTAGGATTACGGAATATCTGTGATTGTCCATTCACATATAATAACCACCACTGGATATTGTGAATAAGTAATATAGGAATAAACAGATTGCCCCAAAATCAACTTCTGTAAGAGAAAGGTTGCATGATTTAGTTCCCGTTTTTCAAGTTTTTCATCTTTCTGCTAACGTTAGGCCTGAAGGGGGGAAAGTAAGGGAAGAACTGCAAGAAAAGTAGAACTACTAGTGTCGTCATGTCGTAACAGCATAACTGTCAACAGTAAAATAAGGATGAGGGATTTTCAACAGTCTTCCCTACCCCAGCCTCAAGAGAAAGCTTTCCTTCAGACTTCTGATGCGCTCCCACATTAGTTTTTTAGGTAGAAATATGTACCTAGGCAGTTGTTTTTAGGAAACAATTTGAATTTAGTTTAAACTACACAAAGCTCCTTTTTTCTGTACAATCAACTCACCTCAGTAAATCCAAGTTCTAATCTCTTACTGGTCATCACTACAATCAGCTTGAATGCATAACCAAATAATACCAGTGATATACAATTACTTAAATTTTGAGGGTTATTTGGTCATATATTTGGGTATTCAGTTTTCAGAATGATGTTTGGTGAATGAAAAGTTGGGCTGAAAAGCAGCTTGTGTGCTGCTTCTGGCTCTGTTTGATATGACAATAAAGAAGCCATTACTGATGTTCACAAAACTGCTTTCTGTTCTACTATGTGCCATGCTCTATAGTCAGAAGTCCCATATGCCATTATTTTATTATTTATCATGATAATTTATTAAATTTGTATACTGCCCTCCATCCAAAGATTAAAACATAAAAATACAAAATGAGAACAAAAACCAATCACACACACACATTTCAAAGACCATAGAATGTTTAATCAGCCAAAGGCCTGGTGCCTAAAGCTATGTAATGAAGGTGTCAGATGAGCCTTCCTGCTGAGAGCATTGCACAAATAGAGAACTACCACAGAAAAGGCAGCACACGAAGAAGGGCCTCAAATGATCATCACAGGGTCTGTGTCAGTTCATATGGGGAGAGGTGATCCTTGAGGTATTGCTATCCTGAACCATTTAAGGCTTTATAGTCAAAACCAGTACTTTGAATTGGGCCCGAAACTAAATGGCAGCCAGTGCAGTCAAGCCAGTATTGGTGTGATAGGCTCAAACTGTTTTGCCCTGGTGATCAACCTGGTCGGCGAATTCTGCACCAGCATAAGTTTCCATACTGTCTTCAGAGGCAGCTCCCTGTATAATGCAGTACAGTAATCCTCCCCCAGTAACGTGCTACTGAAAGACCTAACTTCTTCTCACCTACCCCCTCTTTCTTATATTAATTTGCCTTTATTTATATGTACCCTTTCTGATAATCATTTCCCACCCTCCACTTTGTTATAGGTCAGAGATTACTCAGTTCTTGTAGCTAGCAAAGCAATATGAATGACGTTACGTGCCAGTCTTTGTTTTTCATCAGTCTGCCTGAGCTGCGAAAACTCTGTGCCGTGAAGGTTACACTGAATTCTCAGTTTGCAGCAACAGAAATTAGAACAGCACAAAGGAAGATGTGCAGGTAAAGGAAATTTGTTTATTGTATTTTTTGCACCTTTGCTATCCTAATGAAGTTCATAGTGGACACATGGCGGAAGGGGGAATGATGATGCTGGGGGGAAAGCATGCATTGATGTTTTTACATATAGGTTGCTTATCATGGTTAATTCACAGGCACTGAAACTATCTGCAAAGGGTCCAACAATCCTATTGCAGCTTGCTGAGCCAAGGAACACTCTGTTGTGACTGTGAGAGAGTTGCTGTAGCTCAAGTTCTGATATTCTTTCTTCACAATTCAGATGCTTTGTACACTAATAAATGCCAAAATGATAAGAAGCTGAGTGTATAAAACACTTGCTGCCTCTGACTAAAGCCAGTTTTAGGCACCCAGTCAATAATGGATACACATTATTAAATATTTAAGACTCAATAAAGATTTTGTTACAACATTACAAAACTTGATGTTACTATGGAACTATCACAATATGCCTCACTTCAAATGATTTCAAAAGTAAAGGACCTCTGACTTAGTCTCCCTCTAAAAATTGTAGCCTAGCCTCAGACTACGTGGACCTGTGCTTGCTGGCACATCAGGTCTTAAGAATGGGCCAGTAGAATTTACATATAGAAATGGGTATTGCATCCATACATATGAAATTGCATTTGCTAGGATTTTTGTTTTCTGCTAATTGATCAACTGTGCTTCACTTCCATGAGTAATATCTATGGTAAGATACATGGAATTAAAGAATATACATAGTTAATGGCCAGTTATTCTGAGGACACTTAGATGACTGTGAAGCAACATCTTAAAGAATGTTGACTAAAAGAAAAAAATTTGTAGAGTGCAGTGTACTTTGGGTTATAGATTTACTATTATGGAATTGTGGAGGTTAGTGACAAGTTTTGAATGCTTTACCTAGGCAACTCTTGCATCTGCATCAAGATGTGCTTTCTTCACCTGTTCCTGGAACATTGAATCAAATTTCAGTGGTTATGACGGTCAGTAATAATATTTCTGGTAACTTATATATAAATTCAGAGTATAGATGGTCCAAGATCCCCTGGACAAGATATTGAGCACACTTATGTCTGAGCTTATGAAGTCAGGGTTTTCCAGGACAAGATTTCCCCAGGGAAAAAACTGCCACTCCCCATCCAGGATCTGGAGAACTGAAACCAAGTTGCCAAGCAACAGTGAACTGGTGAGGCTGTACAAGCAGAAAAGTATAGAGGCCTGGTTGCCCTGGCAATTGGAATGACCTGGCTCTTCCCTAAAGACCCCAAAGTCTTATAGGACTCCAGGCAACCACAGAAAGCATGAGAGGCCTCCCATCTTTAATTTAAATGTTGATCATATGTCTGAGGATCAAACATTCTGGCTACAACGGTTGATTAGGTTGGAGGCCAAGAACAAGGAGGAAAAACTGGGAGACATTCAGTGGCAGGCCTGGGGGTCTCAAATTTCAACAGCATCCCGTGTGATGCCAAAATTCAGCAAACCACCCCCCTCACCTTTCATTCTATATCATAGTTGCAACAACCCCAAGCGCTGCACCCAAAGTGACTGAACCAGTAGCACTCCCCTAAATCCCTAAATCTGTGACATTAACCCCCTATTCTTTCTATCTCATATTATACCAGTGAACAAGCCAGTGATGAGGCTCCTTAGCAGGGCTGCAAATGTACACGCTTACAAAGATAAAGATTGTTAGCAGAATTCATGTGATTGATACCTTGATCTTAAGATTAGACTATTACTTTCCAGTCCATAGAAGCTTGTTATACAACCGTAGCATTTGACAGTTGCCTTTATCAGCCACCCTCTGGAAAGGTCTTATCCTGAAGTCACAAGGGGACTAAACATAGTGCCTTGCCATTTTCTCTTTCCCTTAAATACATGAGTTTAGAAAGATTCTAAAGACAAACAACTGTCATGAACAAACCAAGTAACATAGTTTCTTTGTAGTGATTTTTGTCATTTAGAGAAAATTTCAACATTTCTACATATGGGAGTGAGACCAATTGCATTTTTCTCAAAAAATGTAAGATTATCTTCATTAAATGTATCCAAACAATATCTATCTGTGATATATTTGTTTGTTTTGCTTGTTTTAGATACTCTTCTATAAGTCAGGAAAATTTCAAGCTTATATAGAGAAAAACAGATCTATAGTAAGTAATAAAAGTTTTTTCTAAGCCTGGTTACATTGTTTAGCAATTGCATATACTTATTTGTTTTGTTTATTTGCTAAATGTATATACCTCACATAAAACCTAGCTCTCTGAAAAGTTTGAAAACTTTTCTTTATAATGCCCAGTCCAGTGGCTGGTGGCAGTATACCTAGGACTACCTGTAGTAACACAAGTTGATTATTTTTTTAATCACCAGTTCAATGCCTCACCAGTTCACACAAGCTTGTTAAGAATTGTTAAGCTTGTTAAGGCTGTATAAGAATCCACACTTGGATAATGAATTTGCTATTAGTATAAATCAACAGAAAAACTGTTTTTGTAGGTTTCTGTCCCCTGACCTGCTATCTATCAATACAGAACTAATTTTCTGTAGGAAAAGTGAAAAGGAAGAGGGCAAATTTCAGGAGTGAGCCAGCGGTAAATCACACGGTGAAAGTTGGAGCTATCTCTACTAGCAAAAACGCAATTGACACAGAAGTGTTAGGCCTAGTGGGCACAGCAACTTATCTCTTGTTCCCATGAATCAGTTGCTGATATGGAAGGTCCCTGCCTTTCTACAGCTGTCTAAGTCCCCTTTTCTCCAGGGTTTGTTTTCCAAGCAATTGGAGACTGTGACTTGTGCCTCGCCAATCGCTCTTCCACCCTTTTCCTGCCTTTGGTTCAGGGAGACAAGAGGGAGGGGAGCTTGTTGCAGCAGCAGCAGGAGACACCCATGACACTTCACCAGCCTGACTCATCTCTGCCTCTTGGCCTCTCTCCTTCCACCTCCTGCTTCAGCTTCTGCCTCTGATTCGGAACTTCTCTCTGTTACACACTTTCCCAGCTCACTAAGGCCTGTTACCTCCTCAGCTTCCAATACCTCCCTTTCCCAGTCTTCTCCCTCTGACCACTCATCATTGTCCCACCACCACTCTCTGGGCTCTGAATCTTCTTCCCTTGGTGGTTCCCCAGCTGGTTTCTCCCACCGTTCCTCTCCAACCAGGAAAATTAGAAAACATGAAAATTGGTGGCTATTGAAGGACTGTACCTCAGTACAGAGCTTACATTTTCACTTCATTTTTTAGCACAGATGTTATACAATTGTAATAGTATACAACACTGCTACATTATGTTGAACCAAGAAAAATAACTTGTGTAATTTACTGCACACTGGGAAGCTGTGTTAGCACTTTCAAAGGCAAAACTAGATATTTCAATCACATCACTGGGAACTGAATGATTGTTTTTTTGTTTAGTAGATAACAACTCAGATTGGAACCAACATTGTGGGAGATAAGATTTTACCCTTTGTCCCCACCATGGGTCACCTGCCCAGCTGTTATCCACCCCAAGAGAGTGCCAATGGCAGCTTCCCTCCTGCAAATAACAGCTCCTCCCTCCCTGGTGGAGACAATCAAGATAAAAACCATGGCAGAGGCAGTGGATTACATCTCTTCTCTCCCCACACTGTGGTCCTGATCTGTATCCTGCCCTTCAAACCATCTGTTTTACCAAACAGAAAATTGTCCCACAACTGCCAATTGCAATTGTTGGTCACCCCATTTAATTTGGCCCTTTGGTAAAGAAGAGCTGCGGCTAGACAGAGTGGAATGTATTTCGCTGCATGGATCAATCAACTTCATATAGTGTCAGTATGCTCTATGATTAGCATATTTTGAAAGAGAAAGCATGTATTTTTTATTGTTTTTTGGTTTATCACACTAGGTGGCAATGCCAGAGAGAGTTGTTCCAGCTGTCTTTCAAACCTGCCTGTCCTATACACTTATAGCCAAACTTGCTCCTAATTGGAACCAAGCTGGTCATCTCTTGATACAAGGTATTTATTCTGAACCTTTGACAATCACAGTCCTATGTAGTGTTATATATTTGCTCTTTTCTGCATACATTGCCAATTTGCTAGCTTTAGATCTTCTTTTGTCAAGTGATCCTAAGGAAATTTTAAGTGTTACTTTAGAAAATGCTTATAATACCCATGCATATTTGCATATTCCTTCTGATCTGGGCAGTCACCTCCCCTAGTACTAACTAGTTTGGGAGAGTTGAGAAAAAGGAATAAAGGTCCCATGGGACACTGACTGAATAGCACTGAGCTAAACTGCATAGCATGACTAGAACAAGAATTTTTGTTCATATTTCATCAGACCACACACTGCTTGTTCACTACCAGAACTCCTGCCAAATGGTATTTGACATGATAGTTGTGCATTTACAGGTTCAAAGAAGATAAAGCACAACTCTGAGAAATAAAACATATTCACTTCCATATAAAATCCTATGTAAGAAAAGCCTAGACAACTTTGTCAGCTTGTTTGAATTGTCATGACTCCATTCAAGATACTGTATTTTTCATTCAGTGGGGCTCAATTGCACAGTCTAGCCAGTGCCTCCTCAATTGTCTGCCCCACTCCCTAGCGATGCCATAGCCTTTTGGTGGGACCAATGCCTGCACCAACTCCTTGTATGCTAAATAAAGATGGCCAGGAGACAGAGAAAAGGTAAGGATAGTTTTCACCCCCCAAAGGACCAGAGGAGGTGCTGAAGGTAATTAAAGAGTGAGATAAAAGGTTTTGTGACTGGTGCCCTCAGCCCTCTCTGAAAATAAAAAAAATGTGTCCCTTGATCCAAAAGGTTTGACAACCCCTGATTTAGACGCTCTGAATCAGCAAATTCTGTCTAAAATTGGGATGTTGAGTCATAGTACCTCCAGCTCAAGTGTCTGTGCTTAGCTTGGGGAAAGCTAAGTTATGGAACTCCTTGTCACAAGGAAAATGCTGTGACAAAGAATTTCCTAAAATGGATTAGACATCAGTGGAAAATGATATCCATCATTGCCAACGGATTATGTCAAACTCTGCTTCCATTTAGCACCATTTTCTTTCTGGCTTTGTCCCTGCACCACCATTCTGTGTCTTGTGGGTCTCAGTAACTTCTAGTCATCTCAAGTGGACCCTGGGGGTGAAATGTTTGAGAACCCAAGCTTCATACTGCATAAGGAATCTATTTTGAGGCAGCCTTGGATGGGAGAAACCAGATCCTTTCCAAAATACTGATTTGTAAAGGCTTTATAAAGGCAGCAGGCATATTTGTTTTATAATATGTACCAATTCCATTTGTTAAGGGAAAGATTTTCTGTCACAAAGGGGAAAGCAAAATGCAGTTGGTAAGTACAATATTGATTGAAGAAAATATATGTTGCCCTCTCAGGACCTGAAATTATTTTGGTGATATGTGTACTCATGTCAGTGTGGTTGAAAAATAATGGAATCATTTGTGCATCAAATGCAGGTACAGAGGATCACCAGCTGAACCTCTACTATGTTTGCTTTGTTGGAACCTGATGAAGATATCTTTCGGTGGAATGCTATGTCAGGCTATTACAAATGTTCAGGCTGCACAAGCATATCAGCTTGCAAGATGGAACAATCCGTCTCCTCACTCCCACCACACACTGGGGGTTCTCTCAACACCCCCCTGAGCCAATTTTGGGGGGCTGAGGAGGGGGGAAAGCCCCATTGGGCACACTGAAGCCCTTGCTGATGGGTTTTATTAGGTGAATCCTGTCATGTATCTTTAAAAGCCTGGTATATCAGTCACCATGAAGGCAGATTATGCATATATTTCCCATTGTCAAGTGGCAATCAGAGGCCAGTAAGATGACTGCACATAACGTGTGCATGAAAGGCAGTTGTCAACATGCAGTGATGACAGGAATGCCTATATTATGTCACTCCCCAATACAAGGCACAAGTAAACTACCAGGAAAAACCTAGAATGCCCCTCTACTGCTACTAATTCTGTGACCTTTAGGAGATCAACAATTCATGTCTGGAACCATAAGCACTATGGTTTTCCTCAAGCATGGGTTCAAATTCCCTTATAGCTCAAACAACTGTAGCTGCTGCAAACAACCCTTTTGCCAGGAAAAGTGCTAGGGCTACACAGAGAAGGCGGGATGGCTATTTGCTACATGCTTAAGCTCTTGGATTTGCCAGATTCCTATAGTGTAAATTGTTGGTTGGAAACTTTGCTTAAAATTAAGCACAATGTTTTTGCCTATTAATTATCTGAATATTACAAATTTTATTTTAGTTATGGACATCAATGTATCAGAGACTCAGCTCTGCATTAGTGTCGAAGTTTTCACAGTACGTCTGCCACCACCTGAGGTACAGGAGTAAATCAATGTTTTCTAGTTGCATTTTAACTAGGCCTGCAAGTCTGCATCCTATTGGGGGTTTATTTATTATTCATGACACTTTCCCCTTCCTTACCCTACACCTTCTCCAAATCTGCTCCAGAGGGTTGGGGAATCTGCAGAACAGATTTAGTGAGTGTGAAGGATGGGGAGTCCCATTCTGCAAAGAGAAATATTTGTACTGGTGAGATTGTTGCTTAGTGCGGTGTTGGTTACAAGCCAATGTACTCATGAAGTTTTGATTTCATAATAAGTAGATGAATGCTGTATAGGTTTTTATGGTACCTTAATTATTTTAATGCATAATACTTACTTGCCATATATGTTTGCAGATACTTTGAAAAATTACTTTATTGATTTTTTTCTATTCTCAGCTTGAAGAATTTAATATTTCAGCAAACATCTTAAAGAAATTTGACAGTGATAATAATGCTATCATTCAAAAATACTCTATTTTAAGTAACTGGTGCTATGTTTTGCCAAGGTATGTTTTTATATTTCAACAAGAAATGCTAATGAGATGAACAACACATCTCCTGCAATATGTATTAGTAATTATGACTAGTTTGGAAATTGATTACTCAAGGAGAAAAAACATTTCATGACCAATATCGACTTTTCATAAGTGTTCATACAAATTCAATTGGCATATTCATTATTTTTTAAAAAAAGGAATTTTTCAAAGTCTATATTTTTATTTTTATTGCGTACTATTTTTAATCTTTACACATTTCCATAGGAAAATTTATTCTATCTGTTTTCCCTGTATCAAACTGTAAGTGATATCTGCAGATAAATTTGCGTTACCAGCTTTTTCTGTATGAGAGACTGTCGAAAATGTCACAGCTTTATAGCAGATAAAATTTTACTGTTAAATTATAAACAAAGAGTGACAGTTCAGTTTCTGATCTACTTCCTGTAAAACAGGCAAATTGTTTCACTAGCCAAGTTAAGTTACAATGCTGTAAATCACTCACTGGTGTGGGTGGACTGTAGGATCATCCAGCACAATTCATATGTGTCATGAAAGTAACTATGTTTTCTATCTCATTATATGGCATGGAATTATTATTTTTTAGTTTTCTTTCCTTACTTCTGCACAGCATGAAAATGGGTCAGATCATAAGCATTAGCCACATAATTCCACCCGATACTCCATTCCAGTCATATAGTGATTTGCAGCTGCACTGGGAAAATCTGGTAAGTGAGTGCAAATACATAATTTGTTCAGTGTTGACTATTTTATATAGCAAGTTCTTAACCTCCTTGTATTTATGTATATATATTTTCTTCAGTATGGCTATATTCTTCCGGAGGATCCTGGGATTTATTGCAACGTTTACTTCAAACTGATAGGGGAGCAACTCTTCACATATCTTTTATAAACTTTATATTTATGTATTAATTTATTTCTCCTTTTTGGCACCTACCTAAGATTATGGGCCAAACCTGCTATACACAAAGTTTCATAAAATAATCAAGCTCAGTAGTTAAAATTATCAAGTAGTTCCATAGTAAATGAAAGTGACTTAATATAACATAAGCCCTTTTAAAGTCTCTGATTTTAGTGAGAACATAAAAGGCTATTTCCCATTCAGCATTTGTTAAGTGCAAATAATAGTTATCACCACTCTGAATACACATAATTTCATCTTCTTTGAGTTATAAATCATTTTTTAAATGGTCACAAACACACAATCAAAATTCTACACCAAAAAGCTAAATCCTGTGACCTAAATTCTGTACAAATTTAGATTTTTTTTTTCTTGTTTTGAATCATTTATCCTGATTTTCATCTTCATTGGGAGGGAGAAGGAGGTATGAAGGACACTGAAGTATTATCCCGACTATTAGAACATTTTACCCAGCTTCTGATATTTCAGCAGGCAGAATCTATATAGTTGTAAAAACATGCTTGAAAAAAGCATAATGGCCCAAAATTTATTTTTTAAAGTAAGTAAAGGGTGGGTTTTTCAGAAACAGAATTCTTTGTGCTGCACTGTAATGTTCTATGTAGAATCGCAGCAGCTGCAGAGCACTGAATGAACTAGAACCACTATTCTTTAGATAACTGAAATACATATGAACATAACTTATTTTGTTTTGTTAAATCTTGATTCAAATTGTCTTCACTTTATTTGTGCTCCATTTCAGTTTTAAGTTGAATCAGCACAGATGCATCAGTTGCTACCACAGATGCATCAATTACATCAATTGTTATGGAAGTTTAAATGGTCATTGTCAACAGTTATGTGTTTGCCCTTTTGCAGTCTGCACACACTTTTGAGCGCCAGTGGTGCTAACTGCCAAATGATCCCATTCTTCACAATTCTTGCTAAGGTGCAGATATAGCATGGCCTTAATCAAGGAAAATTTCCCAGTGAAAGCCTTGTTGCAATAAACAGGAGCTGGAAAGGGGCACTTGTGTGCAGCTTCCATTCATTTCAGTAGACCTTGTGCAGGAGATTGTACCCCCTGTCTTTATCATACACATTGCACAAGGAATGAAGCAACAACTTCTCTATGTATATTTCTCAAACAATTTCTTTCAGTCCTTAACACCAACTCAGATATCCTTTCAGTTGCATACGAAGTCAGCCAGTGCAGTACTTTCCTAGAGTAGATTTAGAAGGTGTTCTAAGTGCTTTTGCTGCTGATCTGAAGACTGTCATTCCACACATTTGTGGGCTTCCTGTTAAAATGATAAGTAAAGCATTATATGCCACCAAAGATCTTACCCAATCATCTGTACAGGTAAAGGCTATTTAAATATTCCTGTTGAAATTCCTGGATGTATTGTTAATGGATCTTGGGAATAGTTTTAGAAACTTTGGAAGACAGCTACTGTACTTTGGTTTTTGCCATTGTGGCACATAGAAGCCATCTCTTTCTGCTCTTATAACAGTGGGATAATATATGAAGTGGCTGAAGTAAGAGGGTGAACAACTAAAGCAGACACAGCAGTCACGTGGAAACCAAAGCAGCCCACATAATTTTTACTGTGACAACCAGAGATGTGATGGTTGCTCTTGTTGCTGGCATGATAACTGCAAATAGTTATGTGCCTAAAATGATTCCAGGTCTTCCTAGTTAGGATCTCTGATTATTATGAGCAGTTTTCCACTGATTTGTGGGAAAACTAGTAAGAACTTCAGAAACTAGTAATAACTTCAGAAACTAATCATTGTGCTATTTATATGGCACCCTCCCCCAACATGACAGGGCACCCAGCAGTCTTAAACTATGTAGTTTATTTGTTTTGATGCCTTGCATGCTTGCTTGTTTTTTTACTTCATCCGCACAATGTTCTCATTCAAGTAGCAGCCCACACTTCCCGTCCCAAGTAATTCAGATTTTCCCCAAAAATTGTTGTATACAAAACCTGTTAATGGTACATAATGTATTTCAAATTACTCTGTGGTTTCTCGGTTTTTAGAAAGTTAGCTCCAAACCAGCCAATCTCACTGGAAAAAGGAACTGCAAGGTAACTTTGACTCAAGTACCGGTAATTCCAAAAAAGGGCATGCTCAGTTCTTTAGCATGTGCTATAGAAAATAGCCACAAGATGGAGCTTAAAGCCAACCAACCGAAAACAGATATTTTTACTAATCTCAGTTTACTAGCAGAAGACAAGAACATTGAGGCGCCAGGGAGAAAAGTGTATAGTAGGAAACAAGAAAAAACTTCAGAAGAATCTGCAGGAATGCTAAACTCAAAAGTATCTTTTAAAACGTCAAATAATACTTTAAGAAATTATTCTACCAGAATCATACCCATCTTTAAAGGAAAGCTGTTGCAGATGGATAAGCAGACCACAAAGGCCACCCATGAAAAGAAAAGGCAGAATGCTTCTAAAGTAATGAACACAGCTGCTAAATTGGCTGTATTCAAGCCTAGTACTGATCAAGTTAACAAATTGTTACGTGATGCATCATTAAAAAATATTACAAACGGAAGTGCTCTTCGGATACAGACTGGAAAAGCCAATGTTAAGTCTAGTAAACTTGCATTAAAAGAGAAAAATGAGAATTATGGACACTTGGCAAATTATGCTTTAGCTAATGGAGGAGTTTTAGACAGGGATTCAAGTAAATTCAAATCCATAAGACTAAATTCCTCTTTGAAATCACCTAGTGACCTTGCAGTGCATCATGTATCAGTTGTCCACCAGCATCTGAATACACCTTCAAATTTCAGAACAAGCCAGAATACCTTGACCACTGAGTCAAAGAAATCCCATCCCTGCATGTCTCACTCAGATGTGGATGAGGGAAATCCCAGAATATTTCACAATCAAATACAAAGCTCAGCTGAAGAAGAGAAAATGAATGCTTACAGTTTATGCAGCTCAGTACACAGTAGGGCCAAACAAGGAGATCACAAAGAATCACTAGGAATATCCCAGCAAGATACCATTAAGACTTCTAGTCATCATCTGCAGGGCAACTGCCTACAGGTATACCTAGTAATAAAGGTATTTAATCCATTTCAGCATAGGAGTTTCCTCATACTGCTGATTCATACAAAGACAGCATAGAAAGAAGGGGGGGTCATTTTGTGTCAAATTTCAGGTATATGACTTAGGCTTAGCCAGCAGTTTCTTACAAATACCTTCCTTCCCTATCTGAATATCAGGTGCTTAGCTCAGGCTGTGTGTGCGTGCTGTATGGCCTGTGGGAATCATATGGGCTTAATTAGCGCTGCTGAGCCCAACAGAAAATAAAACAAATCTGTGCAGATGTGTCCTTAGAAAAGGATGTGGAACTTGTGGTCCTCCAGATATTTCTAGACCACAACCCACATCATCCTTGACTGTTACCTATGCTTGCTGGGATGATGGGAGCTGGAGTCAATAACATCTGGAGGGCAACACAGTTTAGCTACTTCTGCCTCAGAAAATAATTTGAACACCATACTAATACTGCATGGTTAAAACCAAGGCCTCAAGCTGATCAGTGCCTAGATGAGAAAGTGCCTAGGAGTTTTTCGCTATGTGCTTTTTGAAGGGTAAGTGAGAATACCCTTTTCATTTATTTTGATGCTGGTCTTTTTCTACCAGACAAATGAATAACATTTTTTCATTAACTTCAGTAAGTATTATTGGGTTGTACCGCATAGATTGCCAGTATATTTTGACTACTTGTTTCCTTAGATGGCAAAGCGAGGTCAACACATATTGTCTTTGACATTAGCATGACACTCTTAAAAGAGAATTAAATGTATTACAAAATGTACATTTAAAATGTATATTAAATAGCATGATCAGACTTTCAGTGGAGTTCTGTAAAGTTCAAAACCTTCTTATACTCAGGGCTAGCACTGAATATGTAAACTACCTTGCCAAAAGCATCTGCTTTCTTTCCAGTTTTCTTCTCATTCCTTTTATTTATTTTAACAAAATTTATATATGGCACCACTTACTTTATAGTAAAACTTGGAGCTGTTTACAAGAAATATGATCAATAAGAGCAGTTAAAAACAAGTAAAAAGAATTAAAATTAACAGTAAAAAAGATTAAAAGTTTTCCACAGAATGTATTGTAATGATAAGACACATCACACTATACGTATTTTTTAAAGTTCCATTTCCAAGGACATTTGTAACCATGTATGATTGTAAATTAATGGCGGAATAATGTTTTGTTTTGTTTTTTAAGATACCTAAGACAAACAAGTCATCCCATTGCAAAGATACAAACTCAATTCAGATTTTGTCAAAGATGGAAACACACTTGGCATCTGCATCAAACAGAAGTGGAAAAAGACAGCAGTTAAAGGTTTAGTAATAGTATTTATAGGCATGTTAGTGCAAGAACAAGGAGAGGGAAATTTGCCGTATTGACTCATACATAAAACAGATAATGGAAAGCACCACATTAAGAACAAGGTCTTATTCAGAAATGTTTATAAGAGGGGTGGGGTTTTTTTAGCAAATTAATTAATTCTAGAATATCATTCATACTTCCCAGTCCCATATTCTGATTCTCCATTACATGGTAATTTTGACTGAAATATTTACTTGTTTATAGTAAAACCTTTCAATTCCATGGCCTAAAAAAATGTGGCTGGTTTTGATTTTAACTTAATCAAAATGTTTAGAATGATATCTTAGATGTTTTGCTAGTCACATGTCGTATGCGCATTAGTTCAATATTTCAGCATAAAAATATGTAATAGGTAGGAATGACATTTGTTAGGGTAGCTCTTGGCTGAATGCAACTCAGTTCAAAGTATTTTGATTTTCTTAATTGTAAATGTAATTTGCTTTAATGCTTTAACATGTTGGCAGGAAAAACAAGTGAGTTACTCAAAGCCAAAGAAACTAAGAACCAGTAAGCTATCAAACTAGAATAAGTATTTAGAGATGAAAGAAAGAAGAAACTGGTATGTAAGCACTAAATTGTACTTTCTTTTATTATAACCATTCCTATGATCATAGCTATTGATGAAATAAATATCACATAAGGTTTTTTTATTTGCTACTAGGTTTCTACTTATATGGTGCTTCTCAGCTATTTTGCACTTCTTACCACAAGCCAAGAATTGTATTTCCTTGTTTTCAAGCATTCCTAGTACTTTTCTTTTGTTAGAGTGCAAAGACCCATCTCTACGCAGATGTGCAAATAAATCTAATATGGCAAAAGCCCAGAAATACAAAAAAGCCCCCTGTGCAGCATATGAATTTACCTTCTTTCCACTGGAAAGTTCATGGTCAGAGGTTCGGGGTGGGGGGCAGGGAGGGATCTGGGTTGCTTATGCAAAGCCATGGGCAGGATATTCAAAATGGCAATGTTACACAAAATGCAAAACAAAAGTAAACACATGTGTGGTCCTTGTAAAGCAATATGTGTTGGTTATAAGGAAAATATAGATATACAAAAGGAGGATTCCTGGGTGTCAAGATCCAAGGTTGGGGCAACTATTTTTGGTGAGAGAACCCCAGCAGAAGTTTAAAATCACAAAATATGCAGCAAAGTAAAGCATGGAAATATAAGCTATTAGACCTTTAAAATATGACTTTCTAAGTTCCTTCCAAAGTTCCCATCTTCCTCTAGCTTAGAAAAAGACCCCACGTTCAATAAGTTTAAAAATGGTTTACTTACAAATTCTCCAAAGGTCAGTTTCATGTGCATTTCCATGCATCAGCCAGAAAACAAAGGCAGTAAAACTTGGATTAGTTACAGTGGTGAAATTATTGGCATAGGAACACAAAAATGGTTTGTAAGAGCCATGTAGTCTGAGTTGCAGCAACCAGCTCAAAACCTCTTCACAATTTGAGCTTCTCAGGTAGACTGAAGGGGAACAAAAGGTTTGATTACCCTCCTCCCAATGTAAGGAGGAGTGGCCTAGCTAAACCTGACAGGAGAGCTTACTCTATGGCATTAATCACTTCATGTTTTAATTAGATTTATGTGAGGCTGGTTATCCCACAGTATGTGGGAACAGCAGCCAAACCAGAGGGCTACAGTATGGTGCAGATGAGCCCTCTCACCCTCAGAGGCTCATGAGCTATATTGGAATTGGGTTAGCTGTGCTTTAACTCCTAAACTCTCTTTGTTTTTTGTAAGCTGCAGTTTTTGTGTATGCATTATGCAATGTGAAGCATTGTATGGCTATGTGAGAATATGTTTAGAAATAGTGTTGGCTTAGGGGTAGTACGAAACACACCATTCTTGGACCTGCCTAATTAGTTGTTATTTTGATTGTTTTACTCAACTTTTGAAGATTTTTTTCTCTTTGCCACTATATCTTTATGATAGTTCTAAATTGCAAAGAGCATGGCAACATAGTTATATTATGTATTTTATTTTTCCACAGCTGTGAAAGCAAGGGCATGTGATTGTATAAAAAAAATCAAATTGCAAAAGACTTTGTTCAGAAGATGTGGAATAGTCAACCTAGTTGATTTTTATCTGTTTTAAAACTGTTCCATTAATAAGGTTTGTTTCATCTGAAAAAGTGGTTTTTTTTAAAAAAAAAATTGTCTGCATTGTGATATTCTTTCCTTTTGTATCACATGTAAGTCTCATATGTGTCTAATTTTGATTGATATATGTGGTAATAAATGTTGCAGTGCACATTTTGAAATGATTTTACAGTATATTGTATAAATGCATTTTCTCATGTATACGTTGCTTTTAATTACACAAAGCCAGCATAACATTGCATATTAAGGCTCATTCTCATTAAATAAATAAATTTAAAAGTCAGCTTTCATCGTTATTATAAATGTTCAGGATTGAAACTCCAATATGTATCTGCATGCATATGGGGAGGTGACAGTGTCTCACACCTCTCAGAATACTGCTTTGGACCCCCAACCTTAAGAGGTGATGACATTTCAGGGGGTTTGAAAAGCTCTCCTGTGTGAGTGGAAGCCCAGTATATATTTCTGTGAGTAGTTACAGATGGGTGATACTGACTGAAATAGAGTAGGGGCTCTGTGCTGCCACCTGCTGCAAATGGAATCAAATGTTTATAGACGTACTGAAATGTCTCCTGGAGTCCTTCTCGTCACAAAGTGGTGAGAAGCTTGAATTATTAATCCTTCATTTGTTAATTCAGTCAGAGTTCTTAGCCTGATTTGAAACATTTAACTTATTGAACAACTTAATTTTCATTCCAGCCAAAGTTCATTCCAAGTATACATGCATATGCTATACTTTTTTAAAAAATAGAATATGTGAAAAGAGTAAAACATTGTTTTAAGGCAAACAGTTCACAATGGCTGGTAACTTTGGGGTCATACTTCGTTGCCAAATTACAAAGTGCTGATGTATGAAGTATTTTCATTTTGTATCTTGGGTTCCCATGTCATAATCTATCACAGAAAGACCCATTTACACTTATGTGAAGAGGCTGCCAAAATTTAATTGGCTTTAATTGTCTACTGTAATTAAGTACTGAATATTCCACTAATTAAACAATTGTCTTCTGTTTTAAAACGATTGGAACCCTGTCTTGTGAACTTTCAATTTAGTGGGCAAAAGGAAAGTGGCACAATGCCTTAATAAATCAGAAGTTGGCTGTAATATAACCAAAAAGCACACTGAATGTTTTAACAAAATCTGACCCACTATTTAAAAACATTAATGTAAAGAACTCAGTTGAATCATACAAGAATATTAATATGAGACAGGATGCAGACATGATTAGTAGTGCCATCTTTACCTGCTAAAAAGCATCAAGCTACATGTTAATTTGTGTTAGAATCTTAGGTTTAGGATCTCCACATCTATTTCTGTATTTTTAAAAAGTAGCTATGGGCACCTCAATCTGGTCTAGTTTGCATGGGTATTGACCCTTACCCCCAATCCATTTTTCTACTGAACTGTCTCACATGCTGCTATTTGCCTCCCAAGTGGCTGCACACACAAACGGTAGCCTTGGATATGAGTTTCAGTAGGAAAATAGCAAGGGGGAAATATGAACTCCCACCCCCTACTATATTGTGGTTGCAGTCAGATAAGGGGGCAATGCAACTGCTTTTTTTTTTTGTAAAGAAAATACTGTGGGGACTCTCAAGCATGGGATTCAAACATGCCTTTAATATAGTTTAACCCTTACCCACATTGAATGCAGTGGGGCTTCCAAGTAAACACACAATTCCTGTGGGTCCACAGTTTCATAAATAATCAGTATAAGAGAGCTGTGCTGGATCAAGTCACAGGCTTATATTTTCTTCTTTCCCAGAGTGGTCAACCAGATGTCTATAGGGCTAGAAACTAAACATGAAGACAATAGTTCCCTCCCACCATTGTTCCCCAACTACTGGTACTGAGGCTGCGTACGCACGACAGTTTAAAGTGGATATGAGGCATCACCTGCGTGCATGTTTTTCACATTTTCCACACAATGTCCTCATTCAAGTGGCAGCCCACACTTTGCCCTCATTTAATTCAGATTTCCCCCAATATGTGGGCAACAAAGTGAGGAAAAAACAACTTTAAATTGCATGTTACCCACATGTAGATGTACTGAAGTGCATTGTGTGAGCAGGGTTTTCTTACAGAAGTACAAATGTTTTGCTGGGTACATTCTGTATTTCTATTAGCAAGGCTGTCCTCAGTGGGCTGCTGGAATAGACTTACTAGATTGTATCCAACACTAGTCACACTGGAGAGCCAGTGTGGTGTAGTGGTTAAGAGCGGTAGTCTCGTAATCTGGGGAACCGGGTTCGCGTCTCCACTCCTCCACATGCAGCTGCTGGGTGACCTTGGGCTAGTCACACTTCTCTGAAGTCTCTCAGCCCCACTCACCTCACAGAGTGTTTGTTGTGGGGGAGGAAGGGAAAGGAGAATGTTAGCCGCTTTGAGACTCCTTAAAGGGAGTGAAAGGCGGGATATCAAATCCAAACTCTTCTCTTCTTCTTCAAAGCAGACCCATCGAAAGTTCATCATGTCCATTAATAAGGTCCATTTATTTCAATGGGTCTACTCTGTGTAGAACTTAATTGGATAAAACCTGTGGAGTCCATGCAACTGAAGCAACCATTTTATGTTACAAATACTCAACTGACAGCCAATAGCATTCACGCAGAATGATAGAGATATGATATAGAATCTCATCTCCTGTGATTTCTTCTCCCTGTCTCCTTTCACACATAACGTCAAACATCTTGGTCTATCTGAAGTGTAAACTTTTCAGGGCTGAGGCCTGCTCTGTAATAATATTGTCAGTGGCAAGCTTTCTCCTGGCTTCAGTTGTATAATCATCAGGAGTTCGTCTTCCTAAGTGTCAGGTTTGTCGAATAACCTATTTCAGACTTCCCCAACCTGGTGTCCTTCAGATGTTTTAGTTACAACTCCTTCAACCCTAACCATTAGCCATGCCTGGGACTGTTGGGAGTTGTAGTCCAAAATACCTGGAGAGCATCAAATTGGGGAAGGCTGACCTACAAAAAACAGATTTATATCAGGGAATTAGAGTAAAACTTTGTAACTCCAATGCAGTTGTTAATCTGCTCCACTATAATCAACCAGAATTTTAAAGTCATGCCACTTGAACAAACTGACCTTTCTCATTTAGCAATTCTGCACTAGTCTTTGTAAAAAGGTATTTCCTGGAAGCTATAATTCACATCCAAATATGCAGGTTATTGGGTAGGGGAAGCCTAATGTAGGCTAATGGCAACATTTGACTTTTTTTCTTTTTATTAAGCCTCAGAGCTGCTTGAGGACACGAGTTGTCCTTTCTGCCAGATACACACCTTGTTTTGCCCTATCGATTAAACTTCATCTGATTGAATTTTGGGTTTATAGGACTAATGAGATAGTCGGCCTCCAAGGGGTTTTAAAATAAGAAAGAGGAGCAATAAACTTCAGAGTCTACAGGTTTGTTTTAAAAAAT